TTATAGACATTAGATTTAAAAAAATTTAAGGACTCAACCAAGGTGGTTAGCGGTGGACTTGACGAAGTTGTTAAGGTTTGCGATTTGGAATCTGCTAGAGGTTTTGTTTTAAAATTATTTTTTTGGTATCCAATTTTCGTACCCTCTTTTGGCCCTCTTTCGTTATCCCCATTTTTCTTCCTTAAGAATGCACTCAATGTTCAGATTATCAATGTCTTTCAGTTGAATATGGCTCAGGGCAATAAAGTAAAATTGAGGAAAGAAGGAATTCTGACCATTATGTGCATTCCTAAGGAAGAAAAATGAGAAAAGAATGCCTTGCTATTACCCTAATTTCGTCAATTCTGACTGAGTTTCGTCTATCCTATCCTTCCTTTTTACCTTCCTCACTCGGCTCACAATCTCAATTAGTTTATAATTAAAAACGGACGATTCTTCGCTGATCATATTTCTCCTCCCGTTCCCATTTTCCTTTTATGCAAAGAAAAAGAAAAAATAGAGAGGGGACGAATCTCGAACTGCCCAAATTTTATTAAATTTAATATTTTTAATTTATAGAAACAGTAATGGGACAACATTCCAATGCTGTTAGATGTTTAGAATTTTGTAATACTATGAGGGTTGCTGTGTCTGGTGGATGGGATAATATGTTAAAGGTTGTTTTAAACAATATTTTTTACAAAATTTTTCTATTTTTAAATTCGTGGTTTAATTAAGTCAAAGTCCTCACTTTTTAATAGGGTTGGTCCCCGATGAGGGGAGGGGCACGGGAATAAATTATCAGGGAGACAGCGCCACGGGGGGGGGGAGGAGGGTGGAGGACGGGGAAAATTTGTTTTTTTCTCAGAGAGGGTGGGGGGACGGGTAATTTTCAGAAAATCTCTCAAATTCCCCGACTTTTGGGGACAGGCCAACCCACATTTTAGGCATAGTTGTAATTTTTGGTTTAGTGGTTTTATTCTCTGTTCTATTTTTTGGGGGTATCAGGTTCGATACCTCTCGGCTCCTTTTATTTTTTCACGAGTCGAATTTTCTTGCAAAGATATTTTTTGAAGATTCTTTCACTCTAAAATGTTAAAAAAAATTTTTTAAACTAGATTTGGGATATTCGTGCCCTAATGCCTGTCAATTCACTAGATTGTGGGGAAAAAGTTTATGCTCTCGACGTAATTGACAATCGTGCTGTTGTTGGGACTAAAGACAGGCGTGTACTTGTTTGGGATGTTAGGAGCATGAAAACGCCTCTTCAAGTGCGAGAATCGCCTTTAAAGGTTTTTTAAAAATTTTAAAACTTAAAAAAAATTTTTCTCTTTCATTGTCAGTTCCAAACTCGTTGTATAAAATGTTTTCCTTCGGGAGAAGCTTTTGTTTTGTCGTCCATTGAGGGTCGTGTAGCTGTTGAATATTTTGATATGGACCCGGAAGTGCAAAAAGGAAAGGTTAAAAAAAATTTTTTTTATTTTTAATCTTTAAAAAATTTTCTGGAAAAAAATTTTCTGGAAAAATTTTCAAAAAATCTCGAAAAAATTTTTTTGAAAATTTTCGAGAAAATTCTTTTGGAAATTTGAAAAATTTTTTTGAAATAAAAAAATCTTTTTTCTCAGTACGCCTTCAAATGTCATCGTGTAAAAGAAGAGGTCAATGAACTAATTTACCCAGTTAATGCAATAGCTTTTCATCCAATTCATCGAACTTTTGCAACTGGGGGAAGTGATGCAATTGTTAATATGTGGGATCCGTTTAATCGAAAAAGGTTTTTCTTTTTGAGATTCTATTTTTTAAAAAATATTTTTTAAATTTTAGACTTTGCCAGTTTCGAAGGTTTGCGAGTTTTAAATTTTTTTAATTTTTAAAGAATTTTTGGTAAATTATTGTTTACAGACCTTTTTTTTCTCCCCAAGTTTTTTCCTATGAATTTGAAGAAGGGTCTTACATTCGTATGAACAAAGGACAAAGAAGGGTCTGTAAGTAAGCCTCCCCTACCTTTCTTGCCTCTCCTACCTTTAAGCCTCTCCTACCTTTCTTGCCTCCTAAATAGAATAAAAATTACTCCGTTTTGATTTTTTGTTAATTGGAAATAAGCAGCCTGATCGACTGTTCTGTATATTCATTGGAACTAGGCTAAGGGGGGGGGGGGTCTGCAATTTTATCAAAAAATGCTCCAAAAAAAATTCTCAAAAAATTTCTCCAAAAATTTTGCAGAAAAAATTTTTTCTCTTTAAGGTTCCCAAATTCAGTTGTCAGTTTATCCTTTTCACCTGGGGCCTATTTCAATTGTCCACAGATTCTGCATTCTGTGCACAGAACACAGATTCTGTGGAAATTCTGTTTCAATTAAATTCTGTGTGCACAGAATCTGTGGTGCCCGCAGATTCTGCGGAAACATCCAATGATTCTGTGGAAACATTCCGCAGATTCTGTGGATGAAAATTTCTGTGGAAAATATAAAAATCTGTGGATTTTTTCCACTGATCCACAGAATTTGTATTTCAATTATTTTTCTGTGGTTCTGTGTATTTTTTCTTCTAAATTCAAATTTTTTATTTCCGCGTTTTTGAAAATAACAGTTTTATTGAAACGAAAAATGGTTTGGACAGTTCGGTACTACCGCAGTATTAATGGTACCTGATTTTTTGAAGTAAAACTTTAAAAATTCTTAAATTAAACTGAAAAATATTGTAAAGATTTAAAAATTTTCCCTCCAAATCACATAACATCCCTTTAAATCTCTTTGATATCACTTTAAAACCGCTGATATACCGCTTAATTTTCTTGTTCATCCAATATCCTTAAATCTCCAATTAAATTAATGTCCTAAAGCAGGGTTCGGATCGGAAAAATCAGGAGATGTCGATCCGACATGTGGCTTTTTCAAACTACGATAGAAGTTGTTGCAAGGGAGGGAAATGTTACAAAACTGGGGATTGTTTAGTCAGAAATTGAGGTTCCTGGAAATCGAAAATGCCTGGAATCCAAAATTATAGTCAAATCGGAACTTTAAAATCGTAGAGGAGTGATTAAGTGGGATATCCATTGATTTTGAGGTTTAATATATTGGAGTGATTAAGGAGGAAATCTATCATTAAATAGGAGGAGAGATTATGACGGATATCAATGAGAGATCATGGGAGATATCCCAGTATACGCTATACAGATATCTTCTATAGATCCTGGTAAACATCCCCTCATTAGAGATATCCATGATGATTAGAACATCATAGCTCTAAATTTCAGAATCTCTCACGTTTTTTATTTTTTTATTGCTTGAATATAACAAAAACTGCGTAAAAAAGATGTACCTTTTTCAAAATTAATTTTAAGCAATAATTTTAGGTAATAAAATTATAATTTTTATATCAAAAAATAGAGAATGATTCAAACTTTAATAATCTTTAAAAATTTTGAAATTTGGTTAAGCCTAGGCCTAGAAAAAAATTGTTAAAGTTTTTCCACAGAAAGTTCGCAGAAAAAATTTTAGGGTGGATTTTTTAAAGAATTCTGTGTATTTTCCGCAGACCACAGAAATAATTGAAACAGAAATGCACAGAATCGACTAAAAAAGCCACAGATCTGTGGATTTTTTTCTGTGCACAGAAAAATAATTGAAATAGAATTCTGTGGTTTTTGCATGTTTTTGGATGTTTTGCAGAATCTGTGGATGTTTCCACAGATTCTGTGCATGTTTCCACAGAATCTGCGGACTTCTTTTTCCGCAGAATCTGTGGAATAATTGAAACAGAATTTCTGTGGTTCTGTGGTCTGTGCACAGAACGCAGACCGCAGAATCTGTGGACAATTGAAATAGGGCCCTGAAGGCACACTTTTAGCAATAGCCAGTACTTATATGTATGAAGAAGAAAGGGATGATCCCTCTTCAATACCGGAAAGTGCTCTTGCGATAAGGCGAATGACTGATATTGAGGTTAGACCAAAATGAGGAGAGGAGAAAAAAATGATTTTTTGGAAGAAGTAAAGGTCTCATATTTTTTGATTAAATTTTGATTGTTTATTTTTTAGTTTTGAATCGTCTTTTAAATTATTTTTCTATTTTTTTTAAATATTTAATGAAAACTTAAAACCTCAGAAAACATTTTTTATTTGGTTTATCAATAGGGGACGCGCCCAAATAGGCGCGGCCATAACGGCGCAGAGCCATAACTTGCTTAAAAAATTCTGGCCCTTATCAATTTTGGTACCATTCTCTTCAGCTCGATGAGAGGAATCGTTTAATACTAAATTTGGTAAGATTCGGAAATTTTGAAGAAAGTTATGGATTTGCGCCTTTATGGCCGCGCGCCGGGTTGTACCCATTCGCTTTCCTTGTCTATACTCGTAGAGAAGACGTCCACCGAAATATTCATCTTCAACTTCCATTTTTCTTTTTGATGTGAAGTTGTTTCTTTGTCCATCGGTGGTGAGAACCCTTTTCTGAGAAATTATACGATTTATAAAACGCCTATGACTTGATGAACTTCATCGGCTAGTGCTCCTCTGGGAGCCATACCCAGCACTGATATCAACACGTTCTTCTCGTGCTTCCGTGGCCATATTACAATTTTAATGAACAAATTTGTTTAAAAAATCAAAGGAAAGCAGAGGAAAGAAGAAAAATTCCTGAAAAACCCCCAAAAACCGAAAATGACATTTGCTCCCATATTTAAATATTTAATTTACGCCAAACAAAAAGTTTCGCAACGAAAGCTTAATTAAGTGAGAAAGTTCTGAAACAAAAGAGAATGAGAAAAATGCAAATTTTTCTTTCATTTTTTGAGATTTTTAGGGGTAACGTACCGCGGTACTTTAATGTTTTTTTTCATTTTTATGTATTTTTTTATTATTTTATTCGTTTCATTCGTTGTTTTCTATGCCCTCTTTGCATGCGCGCGCTAAAAATTTAAAAAAAATTTGAAAAAATGAAATCTTCAAGTCTTCAATTTTTCCAAGTTCAGGCTCCTCTCTTCAAGGAACTGGGTTGCTGATGGTGGTGGCTCTTCATGGAATTGGCAACTGGTGGCAGATGATGGTGTATGGTTTATCTTGACGTCTCGGGGTGGTCCGTTGGCTTTTAAGATGGTGGCCCAATGGTTTTAAATTTTGGAGGGAAATAGGGGCGGGGGTGTTTTTAAGATGGGTGACGACTCAAACAAATTTTTTTCTTCTTCTTATAGGCTCTTCAGGCTTTACACCAATGGCATGACTCATCCTTTTCTAACTGATGGTCATTTTCTGTTTAGCTCAACATGGCTGGATGGCACGTCAACATGGAACAGTGGATTGGATGGCTCAGTCAATGGCTTTGGTTGTGAGGTTTATTTAGGCTAAAACTTCTAAAAACTAATTTCTCCTTTGAAGGCTCTTCAATGCTCATCAACGGTATGGCAGGCGATTTTTCTACCAATGATGGTTTTCAATTTAGATGGATGCTCTGTCCAGTTTGATGGTGGCACTTGTTCAATGGATGGAGCTGTTTGGTTTGGGGTGTGGTTTTTTAAATTTTGGGGGAAAATGGGGGCGGGGGTATTTTTAAGATGGTGGCCCAGTGGTGCTCTGCTTGGTGGCCCGATGTTTTGCTTGGTGGCCCAATGTTGGTTGCCCAATGTTGGTTTGGTGGCTATGTTGGTTGGTCCATTGGCTGCTCTTCTATACGGCTTATTTTTTAATTTTATGAACACATACTATTTTTTATTTTAGATCCACTTTTTTCATCAATGGTGGCTTGCTTGCTCATTGGACTTGGAGAATATGCTCATTGGACTGGATGGTGGAAGAATATGCTTGTCTGTTGGGTGGTGGAGAATATGCTTATTGGTTGGTAGTGGTGTGGTTTTTTATTTTTAAAGTTTAAAAAAATGGGAGGGAAGAGGAGGGGTTTTAGCTTGGTGGTGGTGCTCGTCTACCTGGAGCTCTTCTACAATTGGTGGTGGTCTAGGCTCTTCAGAACTCTCTTCTTGGTACGTTTAAACTTTAAAAAAATTAAAAATTTGGCTTAAAAATGCGCGCGCGTCCGCTTTCCCCTTTCCTATCTTTTGTCTTTTTTTGTCCTTGTCCATTTTTGTCTTTGTTCACATCTTCAATTTTCTCTTATTTTTTTGAAAAGCTTAGTTTGGATTTGTTAGCAAATGGATGAACATTGGAATGGAAAATAAAATGGATGAGTTGGATTTGTTGTCTTCTGCTGGTGGATTTTCTGGGTTGAGTTATTTTTGTGGTTAAAAATTTTTTGAGGTTATTTGCGGCTTGACGTGCTGTAAAAAATTTTCTAGTAAAAAATTTCATTGTAGGGTTATGTCGCTCGTTTTCTTAAAATTCAAATTTTTTCTGGCATTCTGTATTATGGGATATTTTGTCATTATGCAAGAGACTACAGGAAAGAGGAGACTAGAGAAAAATAATCCTATGCCACTTGAGTCTCGGATCGTTTGTTTTTCTTTTCCACTGTGATTTTCGAATAACTTGCTGAAGAATCGTCTCTCTCTCTCTCCTTGTCTACGGTCACCCAAATATTCTTCATCTTCAACTTCCGTTTTTCTTTTTTTTGGTGGGAAGCTGTTCCTATGTCCATCGGTGGCGACGACCCTTCTTTGAGAAATTCATACTCGTAGAGAAGACGCCACTTTGATTTTAGAACAACTTGCTAAAGGATTGTCTTTTTCCTTGTCTATACTCGTAAACGTTCACCCAAATATTTTTCATCTTCATCTTCCATTTTTCATAGGAAGCTGTTCCTATGTCCACCGGTGTTGAGACCTTTCTTTGAAAAATCTATTCTCGTAGAGAAGACGTTCACCCAACGATTCTTAATCTTCAACTTCCTTTTTTCTTTTTGGCGGGAAGCTGTTCCTATGTCCATCGGTGGCTGAAGACCCTTCTTTGGGAAATTATATGACTCGTAAAAATGCCTATGACTTGATGAACGTCTTCGTCGGCTAGTCAATTTACAAGGAGAGGTTGCGAGGTGTCCGACCTAAAAAATGTCAACTCATAAATACAGCCTAATATCCAGCCCAAAAAATCAGTCAAAAAATTTTTCCAAAAATTTCTTAAGAAAACCCATCAAAAATAACCAAATTTATCAAATTCTCAAAATATTATATACTTGAATAAGACAAAAACAAAATTTAAAAAATAATCAAAAAAAAACTTTCAAAAAATATCATCATTCTATTGTCCTTGTTTCAACTTTTTTCTTTCAAGTAAACGTTCACGCAACGATTCTTCATCTTCAAATTCCATTTTGGGCATTTTTTGGGGAGAAATTGTTCCTATATCCATTTGGGTAGAAGAAGAACCTTCTGAAGAGAAAAATAAAAGGTAATAGTTCGGTTCGTATACCCCCTCATTTTTCCTTCCTTCGAATCATCTCGACAAGCTTTCGAATAAGCTATATTTGATTAATCGAATTATTAGCCCAAAAATTAGCTTGGCCCCCATTGTAGTTTATCACTTTTTGGAGGTATGTATTTCAGCCCAAAGTTGATTTTGGGGTCGTTTGACACGGCTCGACGAGTTCTATAACATGAGACTAATTGACCATTTTTTAAATACTTTTAGGAAGGAAACAAGATGTATACGAACCGAACTATTACCAAAAAAATTTTTTTTAATTAAAAAAGAAAGCAAATGGCAAACCGCTTGTATTTGTACGTGATGATGTTGGTTCATCCGTCGTTGAAATTTCTTTTTTTACTTTTTTTGTTGAATGCTTCTCTTCTGATTTTTTGCTTTTTTTACTTGTCTTCTCCTTAAAAATAAAAAAAATTTTTCAAAAAAATTTTAGACTTAAAAAAACCTCTTTTTCAACCTTCTCCTTTGGTGAACGACTCCTTTTTTTGTCCTTTTTTGAAGGTGAACGGCTTTTCTTTTTTTCCTTTTTTGAGGAAACAAGGCTCTTGTCTTTCTCTTTTTTCTCCTCTTTACGAGCACTTCGTTCCTTTGACCTGGAAGGAAAAAATTTTTTTGATTTGAGGAGCTCCTCTTGAAAGAGCCCCTCTCCTCTTAAATCGAAAAAAGCCCCCTCCCCTCCCCTTAAATTTCTTCCCCTTTTTAAATGAAAAAGAGTATTGAAATTTGAAATATAGCCACCCTCCTCCCCTCAAAAAACCCAAAGTCAAAAATTTTTTTTTGATCAAAAACCTCTCTCGTTTTGGTGGTTTACTATCCTTCATAGAACGTTCACGTGAAGGAGTTCGTCGCCTTTTTCGATCACGACTTGTAGAACGCCTCCGACTTGATGAACGTCTACGTCTGCTATTTGAACGCCTCCTTCTACTTGATGAGCGTCTTCGCCTACCAGTGGATGGGCTTCTACGCCTACTTCTGCTTCGCCTTCGAGAACGGGAACGGCGTCGACGGTAATAAGATGAAGAACGACTTCGGGAGCGACGTCGTAAACGCCTTGGACTTCGGCTGCGAGGACTTCGGCTTCGTGTAGGTAATGTTGATGATGAAGGAATTCCTGCCATTTGCATAGGAGAAGGAACTGAAGCTAATGCACCAGTTTTTGAGGGGGAATAACCACGACCTGTAAAAATAAAAAGAAATAATTTTTCTAAAGAAAGACAGAGGCTGAAGCCAAAGCTCCCCTTATTGTTAACTACACAGACTAATCGCTTTGTTTGGTACTCTACCCATCCAATTTGGCAAAGATTTTGAACCTATGTTTCCTTTTGGGATGAACCTGCCTACTACTTGCTTCCCTAAATTTACACAGCTCTATTTTTAAAAGACTGGATCCGGGTCCGAACTAATTTTAGGATTCCTGACCAGGACAGGTAAGTCCAAAAAGCTTGTAGTCTATGAAAATCACAGTCCTTAGCCTAAGACATATGCAGGATCCTGGACCTGTAGTCTAGAAAAGTCGTGGACCAGGAAACCTTAACCCTCTCTAATCCCCAAAATTAAAAATATAGGTAACCTATTTCGCCTGTCGCAGCAACAGCACCACCACGAATTGCTTCTTCAACTTCTTCCAATGATTGCTCGGCTGTTTTTCGTTGTGGTTTAATTATTGCGACTTTCGAATGTTGAATTCTTTAGAAATTTGAAAATTTTTCGAAATTTTAAAATTAAAAAAACCTTAAAGTTCTCCCTTGAAATTCAATACTGTCACTATTTTGTAATGCTAAAGGAACAGAAGATTGTTGTGAAAATTCAATATAAGCATAATCACAGGGTAATTGATCATTTCCTGCGGCCATTCGTAAATACATTACCTTAAATAAATTTTATGAATTAATCAAAACAGGGGATGAACAGTCAGAAGTAGAGATCTGATATTTTTAAAAGTCTGGATTTGTGTCTGGACTTATCTTCAGATCCAGGAATTTGGCAGGAAAGTCCAAGAGGATTAGTAGTCCTAGGCAGGGTCCTGGACATAGTCCAAGAAAATCACTGTTCCCAAGACAAAAGCAGAATTATGACGTGTAGTTCTTGGATTTATAGTCCGGGAAAATCGCAGAAAGTCCAGACAAATTATAAATTACAACCATCTTTATAAATAAAAAATTTCTTCTAAAAACGTATGGGAATGTTTTGTAAGGACTGTGAAGGGTTCCAAATCCGATCCGAATAAGTCCAGATATCACAAAGGAAATTTTTGAAACTGTCCCTCAAATTAACTCTCCTATACATGTCTACAAAATATTTAAAAAAAAAATTTAAAAAACCTCTCCAATAGACGCATTAACAAAATTAAGAAGTTCTTCTCCATCACATCCTTTAGGTAAATTGCCTATGTAAACAGTCCGTCGAATTTCTTCAACTTTTGCAGGTTCAGTAGTTGGTGGAAGTGGTGGATAGGCAGGAAGACCTAGAGCTGACAAATTTGGATCGATCGTTACAATCTATAAAATCTTTTTTAAATTAAAATTAGAAAAATGAACCATTTTTTGTCCTTCCCCCATCTCTTGCACTTGATTGCTAATATGTGGAGGCAATTGGCGTTGGCCTGGTAAAGCTAGAGAACCATTTTGAACTGCAGTTTCTTCATCAGGGATGTCGTCTGTAAAAATTAAAGAAAATATTTTTTCAAAATTCAAAGATGGAAGAGGTATAGGGAGAAACATCCTATCTCAAGTTTTTCCTTGGAAAAGCACCCAAAAAATCAAGAAAAACGAAAAAAAACAAAGATAAATTCGTCTTGGCCATCTGACCCTCCGAGAAAAATGGCAAAAGATGGGATGGGACCTGATTCTGAGAGACTGTCTCAATCTTAATTTTTGTTTTATTCTCTGATAGTGATGGGAGAAACCCTTGCCTGACTTAATCACCCTCTGCTTTCATTTAACTAGTCTTTCATTAACTAAGCCAAGGTCCCAGACCCAAAAAATATTCTAGACCCATAAAATGCCCTATACCCACAAATAAATAAAATACAGCTTACTAGACTGTCCCTGAACACAAACAAGTGCTCTATCAAGAAAAACAGTATTTGTCAAATGTTGCCCAACCTCCACACTTCTTTCATCCTCAAACTTAACAAAAGCAAATTTTGGTTGTTGACTTGTTTGGGTGAGAGAAAAATCGGAAGGATAAAGCTTAAAAATTAAAAAAAAATTTTTTATCTAAGAAAACCTTAAAATCATCAATTCTTCCAATATAAGCAAATAATGTCTGTATTTGTTCTTTTGTCGCTGCTGGAGAAATATTGCTAACATTCAAAACACGTACACCCATTTTCGGGGTTTACTAATAATTATAGTTGGTCAAAGCTATTGAAAAAATACTGAAAATTCCAAAAAATTAAACAAAAAAAATTTGATCTTCAAGAGGAAAAAAATTTTAAAAATTTAAATTTTCAGTGAAAATAGTACACTAAAATGAGAGACGGTTAGAGAATTAGAGAAAAAATTAAATTAAAATAATTAAAAAAAGAGTACAAAAATATTAGAGACGGTTAATGAAGGAGAGAAAAAAGAAACGGTAATTTATTAGTTTCAACACGAAATAGTTTCGATACGAAATAAGTGGATATTTGAGTCTAGCATATTTTTTACAAGAGTACGGCCCAAATAGGCGCGCGGCCATAACGGCGCAAAGCCATAACTTGCTTCAAGTTTTCCGAATCTTACCAAATTTAGTGTTAAACGTTTCCTCTCATCGGTCTAAAGAGAATAGTACCAAAATTGATAAGGGCTTAAAAATTTTCCAGCAAGTTATGGCTTTGCGCCGTTATGGCGCGCGTCTACTTGGGAGTCTATTTCTTTCTAATTTGGCCTATTTTATTTGTTTTTTTTTAAATTTTTTAAAATTTTTTTCAGATACCTAGCTTTATTTGATTTTCTCATTTCTACGCGTTTATGTTAAAATTAAGACCAATCTCCGTTGTGTTTTCTGTCAAAAATTTTGCGTAAATTTAATTTTTTTAAGTTTAAATTTAAAACAATTAAAGAAGCTACTTGCGTGGACCTGTTATTGGAATTAATTTTGGTTATACAAATTCTTCTGTGGCTATTTTAGAAGTCAGGAATGAAGGCTATGCATGGAAGGACCAGGGCAGAAAAGCAAAGGTTTTTTTTCTTTATTTTTTGAGATTTTTTAATGAAAAAATTTTTGCGGACAAAAAATTTTTGCGGACAAATTTTTGCGGACAAATTTTTGAAATTCCTATTAAAAATTTTTTTTTTGATTATCCATTGAGTTTAAGGTCCTCAAAAATGATGAAGACGCTTTCACTACTCCCTCAGTTGTTGCTTTTAAGGAAGATGGGGAATGCTTAGTTGGCGCTCCAGCTGTAAGACAGGCTTTTTTGAATAGTCAAAATACTGTTTTTGGTATTAAACGATTAATTGGGCGGAAATTTGATGATAAAAAGGTTCAGGATTTTAGGTAACTAGTTTTTCAAATTTTTTTGATACCTTAGAGCTATCCCTATAATTAATTCTTCCAACTAAGCAAGGGCGTAGCCAGGGGTTGATTTCGGGAGGCGGGGTACCAGTTCGTGATGATCGAGCTAGTTCAGTCAACTACCAGGACTTTTACCTCTCTCTTATTCTCGTTAACCTTCTAAATTATGACACCTGTCCCTATGACAAGCCCTAAAAAAGGGCTTTTTCCCTAAAAGTCCCCCAAGGCTTCTCCCTATTTTGTTTCTACTTTTAAAATATGCTATGTCTAAAGTTTCTCTCATGATTTGTCCTCACAGATCAGTCCATGGTTTGGTAAATTCACAAGTTTCAATTTTACAGGAAAACCGTTCCATACAAAATTGTAAAGTCCTCAAATGGTGATGCTTGTGTTGAAGTTCAATCGCAAATTTATTCACTTTCACAAATTGCTTCAAAAATTTTAACAAAATTGAAACAGACGGCAGAAAACAATTTGAACAAAAATGTTAAAAATGCAATGATTACTGTTCCTGGCTATTTTGACAACTCACAAAGACTAGCATTAAGAGAAGCTGCTAGACTTGCTAATTTGAAAATTATACGTTTTGTGATTGATTCTAGAGCAGCGGCAATTGCTTGTGGTTTTGATATTGCAAGAGATAGAATGTTTGTTTTAATTTTTTGGGGGATTTTGAACTTTAGGGGGCCCCTTTTTTAAGGACGGGTTAACAGAATTTTCAATAATTTATCAAATTTTGAGAATTATTTTTTGGTGTTTTATGGCAACCGTCTCATTTTATGGGATGGGGGACTTGGAGGAGTATCATAATTTTCTTGAAAAATAAAATGTCATAAATTGGGTTGTCGATTTTTAGAAGACCCTAAGCTATCTGGAACTGGGTACTTTATTAATATCCCGCCCCCACCCCTATTTGAGTCTCAGATTAATTTTCCTTTCTTTCACTATCAATCATTTTCTCCTTGAAACATTACAGGCAAAAGGCAAATATTAGGAAGGAAATAATAGACAGCAACCGCAAAATAGTGTCCAATGGCAAAATTTAACATGTATAAAGAATGAAATTTGACCGTTCCGAGGCAGGAAAAATGAAAAGGAAAATTAATTTGAGACTCAAATAGGGGTGGGGGCGGGATATTAATAAAGTATCACTGAAGAAAAATTCATGGAGATGCTCCCCTTTAAGGGGCAAATTTTTCCAATTTTTTTTTTAAATTTAATTTTATTTTATAGTGCTGTTTGTAATTTAACTGGAGGCGCTTTTGAATTTTCCATTTTGGGTGAGGATTATTATTATGAAATTTTGTCAACTAATTCTGATCCTTTACTTGGTGGTCAAGCTTTTGATAATGCTATTTTAAATTATTTTGTTTCTGAATTTAAACGAGAGAATGGAATTGATTTAACCAAGGTTTTTTTAATTTTTAAGGGATGTTTTATGAACCTGAAGAATTAGGCCAAGCTTGTTTCCGGAAGTCTAAACCCCGAAAAATTCCTGTTATCAATTTTTCGATTGTTTTTTTTTATTTAAGAACACCCCAAACTTGGCCAAGCCTTTTCCCGAAAGTCAAGCGCGAAAACCCCTGAAAATTCGGAGCGCAGTTCAATTAAAAATTTTCTAAATTTTATTTTTAAAGGACCCCGTTGCTATTCAACGCTTAAGTGAAGCTGCTGAAAAGGCAAAATGTCAACTTTCCGGCTCAACTCAAACAGAAATTATTCTTCCAAATATAATTCTTGATTCTACTGGAATTAATAAACATTTTCAAATAAAATTGACTCGTTCAAAATTTGAAGAATTGACTGAAAATTTAATTCAAAAAATTGGACAACTTTGTGAAAAAACATTAAAAGATGCTGGAATAAAAAATAAATTAGTAGACGGCGATAATAAGAAGGGAGGATCAGATTTACAAAGTTTTTGCTTTTGGAGGAATGTCTAAAATGCCAAAGGTTTAATTTTAAAAAATTTTTTTAAGCCTTCGTTTTTTCCTCTTTTTAAATTTTTTTTGAGTTTTTTTGTTATTTCCTTCTTCTTATTTTCTTTTTTTTTTTGACAAAAGAATTTTTTGATTGGCCAGCCAGATATAACCAAATAGTTTATCGCTTTTCCAGTAGATAAATTAATTCAAAATTTGAAAATTTTTGAGTCTTAAATTAAAAAATCCTAGCTTTTTTGGAGGATAGCGGGAATACTTTTTTTTGATTTTTTCAATTAAAAAAATCATTTTTAAACAGATTAGAAATGTCATTGAAGACATTTTCAAAAAGGAAATAGATGAAGATTCTCAACTTGAAGATGGAAAAATTGCACTTGGAGCTGTTTATTTAGGTGTTATTTATGGTGATATAAATTATTTGGATGATAAACGAATTTGTAAAAATCGAGCTTATAAATTGGTATTTTTTTTGTAATTTTTTTTTAAATTTGTTTTTTAATTTATAATATTTCTTTATATTCGATCTAAAAGAAGGGCAGTATCTGTGGCTGGTTTGAGCCCACACACTTCCCATTTCAGTGCCATAACTTTCGCACAAACTAATAATTTGTATCAGGGTTTCATTTCGAATTTCAAATCCAAGGCTTTCGAATCAGGCCCGTAGCCAGGGGTTGAGGGGTGCTGAAAATCAAAATTTTTTTCGACTGCGGCGCTGAAAAAGTGAATTTTTTTAGCCTACGGCCTTCTAAAATTCTCAAAATTTTTGCCAGCGGCGCTAAAAATCAATTTTAAAATAAAAAAATTTTTTAATCTAATTTTTTTCTAAACTAATTTAAATTTTTAGGCTTCACGAAAAATGTTTCTTGAAGAAAGAAATGAACCTGGTCCGTTTTGTCTTATAGACTTCGATGCTAAATATGTTTTTTTTTTAAATTATTTTCTAAAAAAAATTTTTTTTTCTAATTTTAGTTTCTGAGAATTATGTTAAGAATGATTAAAAAATATTATGCTTCATTACATATTGATATCCAATCACGTAGCGCAATAAAAATTTTGGGCGAATTTGCTTTAGATTCTGCTAATGATAAAGAAGTCCGGTCATCTATGGCTCTTCATAATGCTGATCATTAGTTTGAAAATTTTTTTGAATTTTTGAATATTTTACACAGTTAGGGGATTTCACGGGGTAGAAAAAAAATTTCTGGGTCAAGGTTTTGAAAATTTTTTCTGATAGGTTTCGCCATAGGTTGTGAAAAATATACCGGGACAGATAATATTTCTGATTAGGGCGTAGCCATGGTGAGGGCTTTGTGTATCTACCAGAGATCTAGCCGACATAAAAATTCAATTCCCGATTTTCGGGAATCGGGACGGGCTAGATCCCTGGTATCTACAGCCTCCACCTGAAATGAGGAAAATGGGAAAATATTGGGAGAAAGATGATCGAAAAAACCAAATTTTTAAATATTATAAAAAAAATTTTTCTTTCTTAGTCCGCAAATTTTGTATCTTTTATAATTTTATCCAAAATAAAAAAAATTTTTTTTCAGTTCTACTGGAGGTTTTGGGTGTTACGGCATGTATTCGGAAACTGAATCTGATGTTAAAGGGTTTCGCGATGAAGTTTACAATTTTTTTAAAAATTTTATGTTTATAAACAAAAAGAAAGTTTGGACTAAATTAAAGCCTTATGTTTATAAAATTAATTTATCTGAACCAACAGAAGAAGAAAAGAAAAAAAGAAGAGCTATCTATAGCCTCCCCCTGAAATTGAGAAAATTGTACCATTATAGAACGATCAAAGATATTAAGTTTAAAAAAATAAAAAAAATTCCAAAAACTAAAGGTTTTCATAAGCTTAAAGCAAAAAAGAAAAGGTATTTTTTATTTAGAGCATATTAAAAGGAAATGAAAAATTTTGCGGACAAAAAAATTTTTGCGGACAAGTTTTGCGGACAAAAAATAATTTTTTTAATTCTTATTAAATAAGTTTTTAAGAGACTCGCTTGATAGCTTAAATGTTACAAAAGAAAATTAGAACTTTAAAAACTACGAACCCCCCCGATACATATTTCGTCGTCAAAAAAAATTTTTTTATCCACAAAATTTTGTCCGCAAATTTTTTTCTCTTTTTTAATCTTTATCTTATTTTTTCATTTATCTAAAAAGGATTTGTTGATTTTTCGCTGCCTTTAATTAAAAAAATCTTTTTTCATTTACCTTGATTGATTTAATATTTATTTTTTTTAATTTTATTTTGTTGCTACCTCAATACTGCCATACTTTAATAATTTTTTGAGAATAAATATTTTTTTCTATGTTTTTCAAAAAAAAATTTTTTAAGAGGTTATTTGACCTTTAAATATTTTATTTATTTTTTTTAAATTTTTTTAGATAAATCTATCTTCTTTTTTCTAGTAAATGTATATGTTCATGCGAATACTCAGGCCAATTTCAATTTGTTTTTCTGTCAGAAATTCCGTAAATTTTTATATTTTTTTAAGTTTAATTTTTTTTAGATTTTTTTTTTTGATTTTTTAGAAAATTTTTAATTTTAGTCTGATGCATTTCTGATTTTTTTCGGGTTAATAATTAAAGCTTTATACAAGGCATATAAAAACCAAAAAAAAATTTTTTTTTACATCAATTTTTAATCTTTTTATTTATTTAAAATTCTTCCCCCTCATCATTTCTTGTTGCCATTTATCAATTGGAGCCAAATTCTTTATTAATTTTTTATTATTTTTTATTTTATTTTTGTATTTATTTTTCGTTGTTTTAAGTGTTTTTGAAGTTGTTGTTTTTGTTATTCCTCCACAATTTCTTAATGAAAATTTTCTTCGTTGTTGTGATTGTCCTATACGACGGCTGATTTGTACTAGGCGATTCTTTAAGGAAAAAATTTTAATTTTTTAAATTTTCTAGTTACCCTAAATTTTTGAAAAGGACTCAAAATAGATGAAAGTTGTTGATTTTTGTAATGTTGCTGGGTTTGGGGTAGTTTGGTTGAGTGAAATTGGGGTTGTTGAAGTAGTTGTTGTTTTGTTGAGGGTGTTAAAATGTGGTGGAAATGATGTAATGTAGAAGAGGGAGGGGAGAAGGAAGGGGAAGAAATTGAAGAGGAGGGAGGTGGAAGGGAAGAGGAAGAAGAGAAGGAAAATAGTGAAAAGGAAGAAGATGATGAAGACATTGAAGAATAAGAGGGGGAAGAGGGAGAATACATTGAAGAGGAAAAGGGTACGGAAGGGGAAGAAAAGGAGGCTGAGAAGGAGGATGCTAAGGAAGTTGTAGAGTATAATGAAGAAGATAATGATGAGGAAGAAGAATAATAAAAAGGAGGAGATAATGAATAGGATGAGGAAGAACAATAAAAAGATGGAGGAGGGGGAGACCAACAATTTGACCTACATGATGGATAATCAAAAGAGAAATTGTCCTCAAAATTGAGTTGATTGGAAGAAGAAGAAGAAGAGGAGGAGGGTGACATTGAAGATGATGAAAATGATGAAGAAGAAGTTGATGTTGAAGAAGAAAAAAATTGTTCTTCCTCATTTTGCCTTGAGTCTTCATTTTGTTCCTTATAATTATTCTCGTCCTCATTAAACAACCAATAATCATTTAAAATTAAACAATTCTCTGAGGAGGAAGAAAATATTGAAGATTCTATTGTTGATTGAATACTTGACAAATCATCACAATAATAATCTTCATTTTGTTCTTCAAACTGAAGGAAAAAGTCTTCCGTTTGTTCCGCTTCATTTTTTATTTGATTTGTTGCATAATTTAATGTGTTTTGGCGTTGTGTTGTTAAAATTGTCGAAAATGACATTTTATCCCAATTATGAGAGAGTGAATGAGAGAGTGTGTAAAATGAAGAGAGTGGAAAAGATTTTTTGTGGGAAATTGGGGAAATTAATTTTTTTATTTTTAAAATTTTTGGAGGTTGACAAAGTGATTTTTGCTTCTTTTCAAGTCTTTTTAGTAGAATATGATCCTCTTCTAATCATCAGCTGTTTATATATATTTTTTGATTTAAGAGAAACGCTACTTTTTGTAGTTGGGCAAGTGTGTAGCGACTTGACGGCGCCGGAAACTAATTTTTTTTTTGTTTTTTGATTTTTTTCTGTTTTCTGCTAATTTGGAAGTTATCAGAATACACCCCCTTATAGAAAATTTTTTTGTATTTTTTAAATTTATTTTTGGAGGAAAAGGGACGTTTGAGTCTGAGATTTTCGGGTAATATTTTTGGCTGTTTAAGTCTGAAAAAATTTTTTTTGAAAATTTTTAGAGTGGGCTTTTGATTATGTTTGGTACAGGCTTTTTGTCGTCTTCTAGATTTTAAATTAAAAAAAATTTTTTAGAAAATTACGTTCTTAACTAGGTATGGGTACAGCCCGAATAGTCGCGCAGCCATAAAGTCGCCAAAACATAACTTGCCAAAAAAATTTCTGTCCCTTTCAATTTTGGTACCAATCTCTTCTGCTCGATGAGAGGAATCGTTTAATACTAAATTTGAAAAGATTCGGAAATCTTAAAGCAAGTTATGGCTTGGCGACCTTATAGCCTCGCGAATATTCGGGCGTGTCCCCCTAGGTTTATTTTTAGGACTCTAAGTGTAATTTCATCATTATTTTGTTTATTTTTTTCCTTATTAATTTTTTTGCCTTATTTTTATTTTTTATTTTTCTTTTAATAATTTATTGCTATCATTATTATTTTTTATTATTTTTAAATATTTTATTATCATTTTATCAGTTAACGGAAAAAAAATTAATTTTTTTCCGTTACTTGGAGGGAGAAGAAAAAATTTTTTTTCTTGTGGCGCCCTTCTTCATCCTTTTTTCTAGATAAGAGGAGAAGAAAATTGGGGGAAAATTAATTTTTACCCATATTATTCGGAAGATTTTATTTTTATTTTTCGATGGTGTATATTTTTTTCTAATTTTATTGCAGCAGAAATTTTTTTTATTTATTTTCCCCAATTTTTTTCTATTTTGGCGCCATTTGAAACTAAAAATCATTAAATTTATTTTTTGATTATTTTTGCATGTTATCATTCTATCAGATGATTTTTTAAATTTTTTTTATGATTTTTAATTTTATTTTAATTTATTTTTTTTTCCAAGCTGAAAAAGCGCTTACTTTAATTTTAAAATGCTTCGAGTCTTGCGTCTCAAGTGTCTCACTTTTTGCTTCAGATTTTTTAAAATGCTTCGAAAAATTTTTTTTTAATTTTTTGGCCTAATTAAAGAAAAATTTTTTAGAAGCAAAATTATAAAAAAAAACTTGAAGCAGGTTTCAAAATTTCTGAAGCAAAAATTCTGAAGCTGAAGCAAAATAACAAAAACGAAGCAAATTTAAAATGTTGAAAAATAAAGACAATAAAAAAACTTGAAGCAAAATGTTTACTTATTTCAATATTAAAAAAAATTTTCTTTATCATTTTTATCACCACATCTCACCAAAAGAAAAGTGCTCATGTCCTTTTATTATTAATTTTATTAAAGTCATATTTAATTTTAAAAATTTTATAAAAGTTCAAACACGTGCTTGCACTTTTTTAAATTTTTTTTTTAAAAATAATATTTCATTATTCTTATCGGTTTTCCTTAAAAAATTTATTTTTATAATTATTATTAATTTAAAAATACCCCTTAGGGTTTTTCAGTCTGAAGCAAAAAATTGACGCTGCAATTAAGTGGCCGTTTTGCTTCAAGTTTTTCTAATTTGCTTCATTTTTCAATATTCTGCTTCATGATTTTAAATTTGCTTCATTTTTGTTATTCTGCTTCAGCTTCAGAAATTTTGCTTCTGAAATTTTTTTTGCTTCTGCTTCAGAAATTTTGAAACTTGCTTCATGTTTTTTTTTAATTTTTTGCTTCAAAAAAATTTTTTCTGAAAATTTGTTAAGAAATATATTTAACTTCCTTGTTTTTATTTTTCTGATTTTCACGTGTTACTTCCTTCTCTAATCAGTCTATATTATCACTCAATAACTTCGTAATATTTGCCCTTACTCACAAGTTAAAAAATCCCCCTTAGACGTCTACTAAAAATTTTTTTTTCTTAATTTTTATTTAATTTTTAATTTAATTTTTATTTTTTAATTTGGTTATTTTTCTCTACCTATATTTTTTTATTTTTAAAAATCACAAGATTTTTTAAATTTTTTTATTTAACTGATTTGTGGTCATTTTACTGAAGAGTCGCAGTCAAATGATTTATTTTTATGTTTGTGTATTTATTATTTTAATTTTTAATGGAATTTTTTAGATAAAAAATTATGTTTAAAAATTGTCAAAAAATTTTTTATTTTTAGAAAAAATTTTTTTTTATTTTTAGAGACTCTAAAAAAGCTTTAAAAAATATCTGGGACACAAACGGACTCGAACCCAGCACCTTCACATAAGGGGAGTCTAGCGCGCTTGCACTTAACCAAATTACAGGTTACCGCTAATTTTGAGAAAAGTCCTTAAGTAGCTTAACTAAACTTTATTTTTGAATTTATTATTTTTTTTATCAATTTATCATTAAAACGAAACATATTTATATTTTTTAAATAGCAAAAAAATATTTTTTAAGGGATTATTTTAAGACGATTTTTAATACGCTGAAATATAAAAAAATAAAAAAAACCAGTCTCCTAGTTAATTTGACTAGGAGACTTTGTTGATAAGGAGAGAGAAGAGAGCCCTTTCTCTTGCTGTTAATTTTGGTCTTAAAAAATTAAAAAAAATTTTTTTAATTTTTTTTTTAAATTTTTTTAATTTTTAAAATTTTAAAATTTTTTTAATTTAAAAAAAAATTTTTTTAATTTTTTAAGAAGGTTCTCGATCCTCTATCCAACCTTAAATTATTATTTTTTAAAAAATCAAACTTCGCCTTTTTATTTTTTGCGTTGAAAATGGACACACAACAGACCCAACCAAACATTCCATTCTATCCCTCCCTTCCCCCATATTTTTTTCTGCACCCCCAACGTTTTTCCCTAGTCATTATATAGTTTATTTCACCCACACCAACATCAACAACATTCTCATTAAACTAAAAAAAACTTTCTTTTTAACCAATTAACTATCATTGATTTTCCCCTGTTTTCCGCGATAAGAGAAAACTTTTACTGGTAAAAAAGCACAATTTAACCAAGCCTTGTCTCTTCTAATTAGTTTAATTAATGTTGAAAAAATGTTTTTTTTGGAGTTGATTGGAGTTGATTAATATCAATATACACAATTTTGTTTTAATCAACTTTCAATATTTTTTGATAGGAGTAGCTTGGTTGGGTCTGCGACATGGTTGTGTTCTAACCCAAGCAATTAATCTGAAAACGAATTTTTCCTAATTTTTTTGGTATCATTAAATAGAGGACGAAATTTGCTACAAAATGATACCAAAACAAATTTTTATGAAAATTATAACAAAAGTTATGGTCTAAAAACTAACTTTTTTTTCAAGAAAAGACTACTTTTTTAGGTAGTTTTTTGGTCATAACTTATTAAATTTTTTACATAAAATTCTGATTCTGGAACATTTTGTAGCTTAAAATGTCCTCTATCGATTGGTACCAAGATTGCCCAAAAGTGACCATTCCTTCAAAAGTTATAGAGCTCGAAATTCAACTGATCTGGGACTTAACTTTTTTGAATTAGAAAAAGAACGCGTTTTTATTTAAAAAATATACTGTATTGGGATATAATGTCATTTTTCGCTTTATTAATATTTTTGTTTTTATCTCTGTCTACTCTCTCATCTTGCTATACTATTTCTTTGTTTTTTAAATTTTTCGAGAAGTTTTTCGATTTTTTTCCGAATTTTTCGGAGTTTTCTTTGAAAATTTTGTTTGATATTTTTATTTTAGCATTTTAAAGCAAACAAATTTTAATAAAATCAGCTATCTATTCAACAACAAAATTAAATATAATCAGCAAGCAAAGCAAATTAACGCGTCTAACTAAATAATCGTTTAATCACAAGGTTTATTATTTTTTAGCAGCAGCAAAAAATATTAAACTAACAACTAGACGATATTTTATTTTTCTTCTCTTGTGTTTAATAGTTCTGGTTTTTCACTTTGGTATTTTTTTTATTTTTTTATTTGGTTTTGATTAGGAGAGTGAGAGGGAGATGTGAACCCAAAAAATCAAGGAAAATTATCATCGTCTTAGGGAGCGAAGCAGTTTCGATAATTTGTATGAAGGAGGATATTTACTAGAGATCAAGATTTTTGAAAAGCCTGGGCCTGTTCCTGGACTGGGTTTAATTTATTGACCGGAGCAGGATCTTGGGCCTGTAGTCCAAGAAAAACCCCCAGGTACAGGAAAACCCTAGGAAGGTCAAAAAAATGCCTGCGCCAGGACTCTGGATAAAGGAAAGATTCAAGCTTTGGTCCAGACCCAGCTTGATTACTAATAGGAAGGCTAATAAGCATGAAAAAGGGGAATTATTAGTCTTCTAATCATAAAATTAGGGGGTCTAACCTGCGAGGTCTATAACCCCTTTTTGAGTTTTAGCCCCATTTTTCCTGGTCATTTTTTCGGTCTATTTCCTTGAGTCTTTCTATTTTTTATTTTTACCATTCCATAGGGTTATTGATTTATATATGATGTCATTCCTTTATAAAACTTTTCTTATTTTTTTTAATTAAAGCCAGAGACAACTATTCAAACAAACAACACATTTAATCTATTTTAAAGAATTTATTTTGGCTATTTTATATAGCATCTAAAGCTTCTTAGTTTTTTGTTTCTTCTATTTTATTCAATTTTAATAAACGTGGCATCAGCAAAGCTGAAGCTCGAAACTACAGAAGAAGAAGAAGAATATTTTTCTGAATTGACTGGAAAGACTACTAAACAAAAGCACGATAAAATGCAATCGAGAATTGAAATGGTTTATTTTTTTTAAATTTATTTTTAAGGGAATATTAGGTATAGGAAATCTTTGAAAAATATCTTGAGTAGGATTGGGGTTTTCGAGTCGGGCGACATTCGATCCATTTTTATCGGGCCGGTCCGACCAAGTCTTTTTCGGGCCAAAATTTGATGCCCGACTCGATCTTTCGGACCGGAATGGGCCCCAACTATAATATTGAGGTACTTGTGGGTTATCTTAAACCAGTTTTGTGGTATCCCAACCCAGTTTTTGTGTTTGTCATATTGGTCTCATAATGGTCAGTAGACCGGACTGAGGCTTGACCAAGGCCTGGGTTTTTCCTGTACCCTGAGTCCAGGCCCAAGCATTTTTTGACCTTCCTGGGTAACCTTTACGAGTCTATATGTAACCTTTACGAGTCTTTTTTAATATCTGACCGTTATTAGTCCGCATGTGAACATGTCCTCAAAAACAAGTTCGGGATAACCCACAAGAGGCCCTTGAACTGACCCTTGAAAGCAAGGAACACGGAAAATTGAGTTGATTTTGACTCTGGATCCAGTAAAACTCAGGTCTGGATCCAAATCCAAGCCTTTCTCCAAGGAACATTTTTCAAATTTTTTTTAAGATCTGTGAGGATGTGAATCAATTGTGTACTAATTCGACGATGTTGACCGCTCCAACTGCTCCAGAACCCAAATTAACGCGAACAATGATAATCTGTGAGGATGTGAATCGAAATGATAAAGATGATAATAATGATGCGGATAATCCTCTGGCTGACCACAATCTTTTACAAGAAGCGACACCACCAGATGATCAGGAGATGTTAAATATGAATGAGGAACACCACCAGTCTCTTTTCTGTGCACCTGCCTCCCCAGAACGATCCCCGTCTGTTTTGGAACAAAAACCTCGAGTTTGGCGTCAACAGCTTGGAGTACCTCAACGAGGATTTGGATCAGGCAATAGAGCAGATTGGGATTCAAGCAATCGGCCAGTTCGTCTACCGGTATATTTTTTTACAATTTTGAGGGTTATTATTAGGTTTGTGTGGTCTCTCCGTTCCTTCCTCCTCTTGATGTTCAATGATTGCCCCGGGTACAAAAAACAATTCAAATAATCTTGAAATCGTCACAATCGATTGTCGGCTGTGGAAACGTCTAAATTGGGTAGCAACACGCCCCCGAGACTCCACCGAAAAGTCGACCCCGAGCCCCGACATGCCTTCCCCGGAAACCCCGACCCGTGTTGTTACCCTAGTCATAACTGTTCGTGTAGTGTCTCTGCCCGATTCCAAAAAACCATTCCTGGGATTGTGGAACCGTCAATAATATGGAAATATTTGGACCTGTAACTGTTTGTTTATCTGAACTGGGCATCTGTAGACGAACACTATCCTTTATTTAATTATCGAATGCCTATTAGGTAAATGAGTGGTTGAGGGCGACTTTTTTTGGCTTACTTTTCCTCAACCTTTCCCTTACCTGGTATCAAGGGCGTATCCAGGAGGGGTAATATTAAAAAAATTTTTTTTTCAGCGACTTGTCCGTCGCGGAGTCGGCGGCCTCAAGTGGCGACAAACTTGTTGCGGAACAACAAACTCCACTACAACGTTTACTGGTCGACCGAAGTGTATTTTTAAGTGCGACGCCTCCAAACCAAAGTCATCTATTTACCCCGATATGCCATGCCTCATGTGTTATGAAATGCGCGGATATTATGGATCAGGAGGAGGAGGAGGGGATGATGAATATTATGGAGGAGGAGGAGAATATGGAAGGGAATTTGATGAGGTTTGTTTGATTTTATTTTTGGCGGGGGGGGGGTGTGCTTGCTTAAAAGGGACCTTATTTTTTTTTGGGGGGGGGGGTTGCTTGCTTAAGCTTTATGGAAGTTAAATTTTCAGGTCTTTTTTTCTTGTTTCTCGAGTTTTTTCAAGCTTTTCTGGTTTTTACTGGCTTCTTTTTCGGTTTTGTTTTTATTTTTCAGCTTTCCTTTTTCTGACGCCTTTCCGTTTCTTTTCCGTTTTTTCTGCCTTTTTTTTAACAATTTTCTATAGCTTTTGCATCTTTTGAGTTTGGTGTTGTCTGTGGAGGAGAAAAAAGAGAATGAGGAGTTGGAGGAGATCATTGAAGAGAATTTGATAAACGAGATTTTTGCGGACGAGGAGACAATGTCCGCAAGTAGAAGGGAGGTGTTTTTTGTTGTTGTTGTGTGTTTGAGTTGAGGAGGGGAAGGAGGAGATTTGATTAGGTAGAGAGGAAAAATAATTTTTTTGAAATTTTTGTTGATATTGGGGGTGCTTTAAAAATTTTTTTTTGAATATTTTAACTTTATTTTGAGCTGTTTTTTTAACCAAAAATTTGTTCAAAAAATTCTAAAAAATATTTTTTAATTAAAATTAAATTTATAGCTCTCAACCACCTCGTCTCCTTCCAGCACCCGAATGTGCCGACATATTCACCAGTCGTGGGTTCATTGCTGCTCCTCAAAGTTTAAGAAGGCCAAGTCTAGAAAGTCATCAAAATTATCATCCTCATCAAAGTTATCATCAAAATTATCAGCATCAGCAGTTGGAGCATGTTGCCACAACATCAACAAGTGCCTCGGGCCATGCCTCAAGTGGCGACTTCTTCAACTCTCACAATTGTTATTACAACAATTACAACAACAACAACAGTTACAATAATGAGTGTTTTGATGGTGATGGTGGTGGAAATTACTTTGAAAATTGTTTTGAAAATTGTTTTGAAAATTATTATAATCACAATCAACATTTATCTTCTTCTTCGGAACAGTATCAACAAAATATTAATTCTTCTAATTTTTTAAATAATTCTTTTAATAATTCTTTTAATAATAACCACAATAATCAACAACAACAACAACAAAATTTTCCTTCAAATAATTATTTAACGTCTTCCCCTCAACAATATTTGGCATCAACAACTCCTTCAAATCCTTCCTCTTCCTACTCTTCTCAAAATAATAATATAAATAATGATTGGCATTTTTGGATTGATGATTTAATTAAACAAGTACAAGATGAAGTTGCTGCTGAAAAAAAGGTTTTTTTTGGAATTAATTGGAAGATAAAAAATTTTTTTATTTCAAAGCTTTTTTGTATGGATAGACGTCCTTCTACTACTTTTAGTGATATTTCTGCTAATGTTGGTTCTGTTCAGCAACAAAATTTATTTGATGATGATGAAAAGGTGGTTAATAATAATAATAATTGTGCTACTCGATTTGAGGTTTTCTTAAATTTTTTTAAGCTTTTCGGTCCCTTTCCTCTTCTCATTCTACTAGAGCTGCGTCGAAACAGAAAATCTTCGGAAATCGAAATTTCGACGTAGCTCTGCTTCCTGCTGTTATGTCCTTTATAAAATTAGTTTATGGTTGATATTCTTTCCTTCTTCTTTAGCCATGACACTGGCCCCTTCTTTCACTATACCTCTCACTATTCCCATCTTTCTGGCACGGGCCAACTATTCCTTCAGGGATATGACTTGTTATTTCTTTCCAAATCACGGACTTGAACTTTTATTATTTTTCGATTCAGCTTCCCATTATTCATCGAATTTTATCAAAACGTTTGGGATTGAAATATTTTTAATTAAATATAAGTTTTAACCCTACGAATCATTTAAGTAGGCTCGCTTTGTGGTAGAAGGCATGTTATGGGTTGCTCAACTACAGACTCGATTTCTTCTCAATCTGTGAGGAAATCGGGTCAGGTGAGTGTCCTAGCCTCCTCCAATTTTCAATTTTTATTTGTTTAAAATTTTTCATTTTTTCAGTCTGGCAGTGTTATCTCCCCTTCCTTATATTCCCAATCTAGTAGTGGTTGTAGTAGTTCATCATCTATTGGTAATTCTCCCTATTCTTTTAATGGAACAATAATTCCTTCCTCTACAACTCAAAAACAAAAACAACCAATTTTGTCTAATAGGTTCTTTTAAATTTTTTTTATTTTAAAAATTTTTTAAATTTTAAGTGACATTTCATCCCACAATAATAATAAATTAAATAAACGCGCAAAGAAAAATTCTCTCCTAACTCTTTCGCGTGAGGAATTGGCAGAAAGGAAAAAACAACAAAATCGAGTGGTTTGTGAAAATTTTTTTAAATTTTTTTTTTAATTTTGAAAATTTTTTAAAATTTCAAAAAAAATTCAAAAAAAAATTTTTTTTGAAATTTTAAAAGATTTTTCAAAATTAAAAAAAAAATTTTTTTTTTAATTTCAAAAAATTGAAAAAATTTTCAAGGCAGCCCAACGTTATCGTAATCGACGTACCCGAACCTTGGAAAGTGAAAAATGTGAAATTGATGAGTTGGAATCTCGTAATTTTAAAATGCGAGAAGAATTGGCTATGTTGTCTAAAGAAATTGAAAAATTGAGAGGTCAATTACTCCTTTCCCGTTAGGTTTATTTGTTTAAAAAAATTTTTCTTATGTTACATAAGTGGAGAATGAAGGAGAGTGAGGATTTAAAAATTAAAAAAAATTTTTTTTTATTTTTTTGTTGATGCCAACCATTTTTTTCCCTTTTTCTTTGATTTTATTTGATTTTCTTCAAAATTTGATTTTTTTCCTCCAAAATTTTTTCCTTATATTTTTTAGCAATTTTTAAAAAAATTTTTCAATAATATTTTGTTTCCTTTTTTTTCGTCGTATTGTTATTTTCTCCTTTTTAAATTTTACATCATATATATTTCCATGTTTTTGTCTCCCACACATATATTCCCATAAATATACCTAAAAACACAACATTATATATTTTGTATTTGTTTGTATAAATATTTTCATATAAACTTGCAGAGTTAAAAAGATAGAGAGAAATAGAGTGTTTTAATTTTACTCTGATTTATTTAAACGAACATTTAGACATTAAAACAAATTTAATGTTTTGTTTAGAACGATATGTTTGAATGTCATCACAACAACAACAACAAATGTTTGTCAAAACAACAATGGAAATGGATGTTCAGATAATGATGTTTTGTTGCGTGTCAATTGATGTTTTCCGGTGTGGTTTAAATTTTATATTAGCGTTGATAAAAACCAGAATTTTTAGATATGTTTTGAATAAATTCTGATTTGTCTTTTTGAATGTTTGGATTAAATTCTGAAATTTTATTCTTTATGTTTGGATTAAATTCTGATTTGTTCTGTCAATGTTCGGATTAAATTCTGATTTTTCTTTCGTGTTTTAATTAAATTCTGACTTTTTCTGTCAAATGTTTGGATTAAATTCTGATTTAATAATTCTGTTAATTTCCGGATGTTGTATAAAAATTCTGGTTTTTAATGTTTTGAGAGAGTTGTATCTTATGTTTTGATTATTGTATTATATTAAGTAAACATTCTGTTTCACAAATTAAAAACAAACAAAAATTAAAACAATATCTTTAATTAAATTATAAATTTAATGAAAAACAAATATACAAACAATAAGAAAACATTGCAAGAATTATAATGCGCTTAACATTTTATTTAAATAATTTATTTTAAATTTAATTAACACAGTTTACATATTTACCTTGCAGTTTCTGGTTTCATTTGTCATTATTTTTTTACAAAAAATTTTTTTCAAAATTTATTTTCTAAGAAATTTTTCTTTAATTTTTTATTAAGAATATTATTTTCTAATTTAACAAAATTTCTTATCTCGAGAAAAAAATTATTTTATTTTTAAAATTTTTTCTTGAAAAATAAAAAAAATATTTTCTGAGAATTTTTAGGTGTCTGGATATGTGCCTTATATTTTTCTGTATTTTTGCTTTTATCTTTTGCTAGTTAAAAATTTTTTAATAAATAAGAGATAACCTCTAGATTTAATTTTACGAATTTTCTTATTTTATTATTTTTATCTTCCCTTTCCAATATTTTTTCTTCTCTTTAAGATTAAGCTTTTCCTCAGGGACTTATTCGGTATAAATTAAACTAAAAATTGAAAAGTGACGTTCTCAAACAAATTTTATTATATATATATATATATTTCTGATTTTATACTAAAAATGGAAGCTTTAAGCTTAATTGTAATAAAATAAGTACACACTAGAATTTTCTCTCTCATTTTTTAAGTAAATGTTAATTGATGATTTTAACTTCCTGGATTATCTTTTTTTTCATTTCCGTAAAGGAGCGTGAGTGATGATTGGCTTTTTTTGGACGAGTACATATGTATGTCGGCGGTAAATTTCAATTTTAGGAAAATTTCAATTTTTCCGGAAAATTTCAAATTTTCCGGAAAAATTCAAATTTTCCGACGATTTAGGAAAATTTCAGTTATTAAATTAATTTAATAGTCTCTCTAACACTATTTCGTTTGTTTTTCGTTTTTGAGTATGTTTTTCTTTTTTGTTTTATGTTTTGTTTTTTGGTTTGTTTGACTTTTTTTTAAATATTTTCGTTTATTTTTCTTAATTTTGTTTTTAGTTGTTTTTTTTGTGCTACTACTGAATGGTTAGGTTGGCATTTAATGCTGAAAATCGTTAAAAGGAATAGGTTTATGGTATTAGTGTAGAACCCAGCGACCGTTGACTCCCGCGAGACGCGTGCCGCAAAACCCCGCGCGAAGCGCGGGGTTTTGCACAAGCGTCTCGCCGACTCCCCATACGTTTACGTTGTTTGTTTTCGTGTCGTAACTTTATCCAAACTTATCCATGGTATCTTGTCTAAATCAAGAAATTTATAAATAACCTTGAAAAAAAACAAAAACAAGCATAGAAAACACAAAAAACACCAAAAAACATAAAACTAGCCCAGACTCAACTGACAACTTTATTAATAACTGAAATTTTCCTAAATCGTCGGAAAATTTGAATTTTTCCGGAAAATTTGAAATTTTCCGGAAAAATTGAAATTTTCCTAAAATTGAAATTTTCCGCCGACATGTACATATATCGTCTTTTTTTACTTTTTTTTTATTTTTTAGGTAAGAAATTTTTTTTCTTTTTTTTTCTTTCGACTTCTATGTAAAAAAAATTAATTTTACTTTTAATTTATTAATCAGCTTAATTTTTTAATTTTTTTTTGTAATGAATAATATTTTTTCTTAATTAATTATTTAATTAATTAAAAATTTAAAATTACCACGCAAATATTTTTTCCCTTTTTTTCAAAATTTAATTTCCACCTGGCTACCCTCCCATTTTTGCAAAAATGCTAAACATAAAATTTAACAAATTTTTTTTTATCCAAATTGTTTTTTCTTATAATTTTTGTTAGTCATTTTTTAAATTAGGGTTGGACTCTGACTCGTCTTTGTTTTTTTTAATCTTAGGGTTAACAAATTTTTTTTTATCCAAATTGTTTATTCTTATAATTCTTGTTAGTCATTGTTAAAATTATGGTTGGGCTCCGACTCGTCTGTTTTTTAATCTTAGAGGTCGAGAAGTTAGCCAAAAATTATCTATGTTAGACAAGGTGGTCGAAGTCCAACCGTATTTTTAGAAGTCCAATCTATTTAATTTAAATATTATTTCTAATTTTTTTAATACTTTTGTCTTGAATAATTCTCATTCTCACTCACTTTAATTATGTTATTTCCAAAATAGGTAGTTAAATACTGAAATTAATAAGTATAAAATTTTTGATATTATCATTAACTACCTACCTAGTTGAAAAGATGGTTAATTTAAAAAATTCTGGAGTTAATACATAATTAGGAGCAAAAATTTTGTGGCAAGTTTCGTGCGATTTGGACGTAATCAAACTTATTTCGGATTTACAACGCTCTGAATTAGCATACTCCAAAGCTTTTTCTTTTGACATTTTGCAAAGTTTGTCTGGTAAATCTGTGATTACTTTTGAGAGCTGTTTACAACTGGGATATAATCCACTCATAGCATCATGTGCCCTTTTAAGGCAGCATTTGTCTTCCAAGTTTGAACACCACAGTCCATGTGAACCTAAATAAGTATTTCCACAAATCTGCTCTAGAAACATCGCGTAGTTCGAAAATCCACCCTTACATATGATAGTGCCGGATAATAATTTTGCTGGGCCAGTACACAAGTCATTGGAGATGTTTGCAATAAAATCAATGACATTATTACATTTGGCAATTTTAGAAGCTGAATCGTAATTTTCGCTGCTGCACTAAATTTAAAAATGATTGAAATTTTAATAATCAGAGGTAATCTGAGGTCGACCGGAGGTGAAGAAGGGACTTGAAGAAGGTGCTGGAAATTGGAACTGTCGGAAATCGGAAATGGCTCAAAAGTCGAAATTTCAACCGACTTCTGTTGCCAAGGATTGGCCGACTTTTGCGGCGCGTACACTTGCGGCTCAGACATTTGCGGCCCAGACACTTGCGGCTCGCCCCCATTTTGACACTTGCGGTCCCGACACTTGCGGCTAAGAAATTTTCGGCGCAGACATTTGCGGCTATCAACTTGAGGCCCAGACACTTGCGGCCCAGACTATTGCGGTTTTGACATTTGCGGCTTCCCCCTATTGTGACACTTGCGTCCCCGACATTTGCGGTTTTGACATTTGCGTCCCCAACATTTGCGGCCATGATTTAAAAATTAAGTAAATTTTTTAATTTAAAAGTATTTTTAAGTAATTTTTAAAGTATTTTTTTAATTTTTTCCATTCCCCATGCTAATTTTTAAAATATTTATTAAAAATCATTTCGATTTTAATCATTTCGATTTAATCAATAGATAAAGAAAATAAAAGGATTTGGAGAAGATATCTCGGAATTTATGTGAATTAAGAGAGATTATGAGGATTTGGGGTGGGGGGGGGGGGGTTGGAGTGATGCCAAGTATATTCCCTAAATAGGAATTATGCATACCTCCTGTATACATGCCAGAGATCTAGCCGACATAAAAATTCAACCCGATTTTCGGGAATCGGCTTCCCGACAAAAATCCAATTCCCGATTTTCGGGAATCGGGATTCCCAACAAAAATTCAATTCCCGATTTTCGGGAATCGGGACGGCTAGATACCTGATACATGCTAATCGCCTTTATATATCCCAGGAAGGAAGCATTGATGTCAATGCACCATTTTGGGATACCCTATATGAATATATTAAGAGAATTAGAATCACATTAAAAATTTAATATTTATTTATCTCTACATCGGAAAATATTGTACTATATCCCCTTTCATAAATTTAAGATAAAAAATATCTAAGTCGAATAACACCTACTTATTTACCCCCTCCTTATTTACCCAGAAACGAGACAATAATTACCCAATGTGTTTAATACAGTTACAATTTCATATAGGAATGAAAGGATTTGTGAATTGGAATTAGAACCGATATTTATTAAACGATAAATTAGGATTTTTTTCTTTTAATTTACTTAATTTTTAAATCATGGCCGCAAATGTCGGGGACGCAAGTGTCAAAACCGCAAATGTCGGGGACGCAAGTGTCACAATAGGGGGAAGCCGCAAATGTCTGGGCCGCAAATGTCTGAGCCGCAAGTGTACGCGCCGCAAAAGTCGCATCACCTAAAATAAATTATAGTATGGAAAAGTTGTTGAACGGCGGGGAAGTTGTTCCATCAACTGGGGAAGATGATCTGTCGACGGGGAGTTTGTTCCAACGGAGGGCAAGTTGATCCTTCAATTGTATATTCCCTCTTTTTTGAGGTATTGAAAAATAGAATTTTTATTTAGTTTGTTTGGAATTAAAAGTTCAATTGGACTCATAGTGAAGTAGAGCCAAAAAAAACTTGATAAAATTTGCTTAAAAGACAAAAAACCAAAACCTATTAGTCGTAAAAATTGAGAAAAAAACATTAAAACAAAAAAAAGTGCCAGTACTTTTATGTATTTTCAATTAAATATATAATGATTAAATTTTAATTAATATTAGCAATTTTAATCAAATTCTTGTTTTATTGATTCCCATCATTGCCACTTCTTTGACCATTTCTGGAACGTTTGCTAAGAAATAAAAAAATAAATTTAAAAATTTGACAATTTTTGTAAACTCACTTTCTAATAAAAGCTGCTTGGATTGGAAGGTGCAAGATGCGTAGGCGAAAATATTTGATAACAAGCTTGGCGCGGTTTAAATATTGCCAAGTTAACGGCAACTCTACAGCCTTCATTAGCAGACTCCACTCCCGCATTTTTTGATGTATTACAGATTTTACTTGATAAATCAATTATAGCCTTTGCTATTTCTGAGCAACTGGGGAATAACCCCCGTACAATTTCGTCCGCGTGTTTAATACAACACGGGTCTCGAAGTGGGCACCAAAGTTTGTTGTTAAATAAAAAATAATTTTTACATGTAGACTCCAAAAACTCCGCATAGTTAGAAAATGAAATTTCGCAATTAACCGTACCAGCTAGTAATTTTGCTGCGTTCACACACCCGCTAATCGAAAGACTTTCCATGAAGTTAATAATTGTATCACATAAAATCTTCCCAGAATCAGAATCATGTCGCTCCCCGCTACACTAAATTTTAAAATGATAGATTTTAACCAGGGTTGGGGGCACAAACCCGGTATTTTTGGTTATTAACAGGTACCCCTGGTTATCGGTTCTGAGTTTTAGTCAAATACCGGTTTTATTTTGAAGTAATTTTAAAAGAATCACTAATTTTCATAAATTTTAGGTTTTTAATTTTATAAAAGCTTAATTTTTGGCAAATAATAACGAAATTTTTCGGGTTAAAACTAGTCGTGTTCAACCCTAATTTTAACGTTTATCGGTTAAGTATTAAGATCTACCATCTCTTTTAGAATTTTCTTGGTTGCAATATTAGCCTCTAATTTACTCATGGATTCGCTGCTAGAAAATAGACCAAATAATAATATAAGCATAATAATTTCTTGTCTCATTTTTCAGTTTTAAATGGAACGCGAGTAGCGACTAAAGGGAAACTAAAATTTATCAAAATGATATATGTATATTTTATTGATATATTTTATTTAGGTCAGAATGGATTTGGATAAACAATTTTATGTATGTAAATTTAATAGATATATAATTCTGTTAAGTTTACATACATAAAAAAGTTTATCCAATTATAATTTATGAGATTGATCATTCTGACCTATTTTAGAATTTAGTAAAAATATAAATATTTTAATATTAAGATTGTAAAAGGATAAGGGAAACGATTTTATATGTTTTATTTTAAAGGATAGAGGATTATTTAATTTAATTTTTTTAAAATTCAATTGATGATCATACACTCTGTAACAAAATGATAGCGCCACCAAGTTTTTATCAATATCTCACCAAATATGAAACGAATCGGTTTCAAATTTTGGTAGAATATAGTTAAGGATATTAAGTATCATTAATGTAAAGAAAAAGTTTAATGCAATTTTTTAAAAAAATTTTATGATAATAAATTTGATTCTCAAGTGTAACAAAAAGATAGCGCCACTTGTATTTTCGACCTTAGGAGTGGTCCGAAAAATCTACAAAAATTCCTATAAACATATCTATTGATATCTATAGAAAATACAAAAGAAATAAAGTTTTTATATAATTCCTTCATTGAGATCTGAAAACCCGAAAATCAACGGAAGACAGGGGGTAGACGTCTTTAAAAAATATTTTCGACCCTTACAGGTAAGATAAAAATTTAATTTTGGGCTTATTTGAAAGCCCTTGAAATTTGCTACAAGATAGCATAAATTTTATTTTTCGAGAAAAATTTACCTTTAAGACATAATGTGATAAACTTTCAGGTAATAAAAATCACTGTAACTCCCCCAAAATGTGATGAAAATGTAACTTACAAACTAAACTCATTATTTCTCAAAAATGAATTTTTTCTGAATTATGAGATGAAAAACATTTTATAGCAAATTTCAAGGGCTTTCAAATAAGCCCAAAATTAAATTTTTATTTTACCTATAAGGGGTCGAAAATATTTTTTAAAGACGTCTACCCCGGTTTTCCGTTGATTTTCGGGTTTTCAGATCTCAATGAAGGAATTATATAAAAACTTTATTTCTTTTGTATTTTCTATAGATATCAATAGATATGTTTATAGGAATTTTTGTAGATTTTTCGGACCACTCCTAAGGTCGAAAATACAAGTGGCGCTATCTTTTTGTTACACTTGAGAATCAAATTTATTATCATAAAATTTTTTTAAAAAATTGCATTAAACTTTTTCTTTACATTAATGATACTTAATATCCTTAACTATATTCTACCAAAATTTGAAACACATCCGTTACATATTTGTTAAGATATTGATAAAAAACTAGGTGGCGCTATCATTTTGTTACAGAGTGTATAATCGTTTTCAGCATCTTTTATATTGTTATTTTTAACATTTTAAACAAATTATTCATTCTTTTTTTAACGTTTAATGTAAAAAGCAAGCTTATGAATCAGTATTCAACAAATTCTATCTTAAAAAAATTTTTTTTGTTAAATGTTAATTTAAATGTTAAGCAATCTAAAAATTTATTGTATATATCGACATTTAATAATATAACATTAAGCGTTATTTAATAAAATAATTTAAAATGTTAAGACTTGAAAAATTGTGAATAATTTTGTTTTACTATTTATCCATATTTTTAATTTTATTTTTTAATAATTTTATTCTTTCAACTTACATATTTTTATTTTTAAATCCCCCCTATGTCTAAATCCTTTATATTTTGTCAAGCTGATTGACAACTTTTTTTTCTTGTTGTTTTTTAAAAGAAAGGAAACACACGGAAATTATTGCATTATATGCAAAAAGGGCATATTTTTTCATTTACTTTTCTACTATACTTTTTTTCTGCTTGTAATTTTAGACTAGTATATTTTTTGTCTTGAGTTATTTTCTAAATGAAGCTAATTTTTATTTTGTTTATATGACGTTAAATTTTTTGGTTGAGTACCATGTGAAGGGTTTAATTTATTTTTTAAAAAATTATTTTTTTTTAATTTATTCGACACGGAAATTTTTTTTGATGTTTTTTAGACTAATAATTGAGAAAAAAAAATAAAAAATTTTTTGTTGTTGAAAATTGGTGCCAAAAAAAATTCCAAAAAATTCAATTTCCTCCTTTCTTCTTCCCTCTTTTCTCTCTTTCCTTCTTGCCTTGTAAACGCACTTCCTAAAAACTTCTTGATTTAATAAACATTGACATAAAAACATTTTTTTATTATTTGTTAAGAAAAACATTGAATTTTATTTATTAAATTTTTTAAAAGATTTAAACAAAAACATCAAATTTATTTTACTCCAACATTATGTTTCTTCATACTTTTACTTTTATTTTTGTAATTGTTCAGATGGTTATACTAACACAAGGTATCGTCAGAACTTCATTCAAACATGGTTAAAAACATTTAACAAAAATCAGAATTTTATTTAACCTTTCTATAAACATGTAGAAAATCAGAATTTCGTTTGAACATTTCTTGAAAATCAGAATTTTATATAAACATTTTTTAAAAAACATCTGTTAATTCAGAATATCATTCAAACATTCCTATAAACATGTACTAAATCAGAATTTCATCTAAACATTCATTGAAAAATCAGAATTTTCTTTGTAGCTATTGAAAACAAAGCTGCTGATGTTTGTAACGCTGACCAATTCGCCCACAATCCCTGTCGTTGTTGTAAAATGGATTGCTGGTACAGCATTGCTAAGGGTGCCACGCATGAACTCGGGCATATGCCTGGACAAGCAGGAGAACAGGTAAATGTTTTTTTATATTTTTAGAAGATTATAAAAAATTTTTCAGGAAGCATTAGCCACTCTACGGCTTATCCGCGCTTGTATGATTACAGAGTGCTCTCCAATTTGTGGCACCCCAGGTTTAATGGGGATGATGAAAAAACGTCGAAGATTTCCAACACCTTTTGTAGTAGAAAAAGAAGGGGCGATTGTTCCTTTACAAGTGAGATAAAAAAAAGGGATTTTATAAATAGTTTTTAAAAAATGATGACTGAATTTTTTATTTAGTACATAAATATTTGTTTTTCCTCACATAATAATTGCATTTTTAAAATAATAAATTGAATAATAAATACATTTATGCTTTTAATATTTAATAATAAATTCTCTGATTTTTCAAGGATTCTGATTTTTGATCAGAATGTTTAAATAAAATTCTGATTTTTATATGTTTCTGACGAATGTTTAAATATAGTAAAAAATGTTCAAATGAAATTCTGATTTGATTTTTGGTTTTTAGAATGTTCAGATGAAATTCTGATTTTTATATGTTTCTGAAGAATGTTTAAATATAGTAAAAAATGTTCAAATGAAATTCTGATTTTTGATTCTTTAGAATGTTTAAATAAAATTATGATCTTTTGTTTTTAAAATGTTTATATGAATGTTTTTCCTTTCCTCAGGTTGTTTATATAAAATTCTGATTCTTAATTTAAACATGTTTAAATAAGCTTCTGATTTTTAATTTCTCAGAATGTTTAGATAAAATTCTGATTTTGTTTTTCTAAGAAGTTTACTAGCTATTTAAACCATTTTTTCATGTCAGTTATTTAAACATTTATTCTTTTGTTTCCCGTTTGGATAAAAAAAAGGGCAGCATCACAATTACATCAAACAATGTTTTTGTTGTTAATGGTAATAATTTCTCGATAAATATGTTTAAAAACAATTTTCTTGTTATTCGCTCATAAATGTACAATTGGCTTCCTGACTTTTTTTTTGGATTTTTTTAATATTTTATTTATTTTCTCTCTTCTTTTTCCCTTCATTCTCTTTTTTTTCGTGCCAAATACCAATTTATTAAAAAGCTAGGATTTAATATTAAATATTTTTTTTTAAAATAAATTGAGCGAACACGGTCATACCTTTATTATCCGTGTTCGTTTTATTAATTCCCAAATGGTTTATTTTAGAGTTAAAAAAGAAAATATTTTTTTTAATTATTTTTTTTATATTTTAATATTTAATTAAATTTTTATTTTTCTACCTAACAAAAATAAAAGAGGGAAAATATATCTCCTGAGAAGCCTTTTAAAAATATTTTTGAGAAGATTTTTGAGGAAATTTTTTTATACAAGTTCGATTTAAAAATAAATAAATACCTAAATATTCTTATAATTTTTTTAATAAGATAATAATTACAAAGTTGTGAGCTAAGCAAGAAACGTAAAAATGTAAAATAAGCAAAAATAAAAATATATAAAAATTTTTTAAGAATAATTTTTGGTATTCTCGAATATTACAAAATTTTTAATTTTAATTTCAAAAATAAATTATTTTTTTAATTTTTAGAAATCTTATTTATTTTTGCAACATTCTCTACTTAATTATTAAAAAGGGAAGTAAAATTAAAATTATTCAAAGAATCGCGTATTAATATTGTACTTAATTGTGACATATTTTTGTAACTGTTTTGTGTGTGTGTTCATGTATCGGGTTGGTTATTTTATTAATTAAAAATTTTTTAATTGCTTAAAAATTGTTCAAGCATCATTTTTAACTTTGAGCAATTTTTTGCTTCTTTTTGGACCAAAAATCTTTTTTTAGTTAATTAATTAATACAATTTAAATACATTTTTTTCTTTAAAAATTTTCTTTTTATTTAAATCATTTTTATTTTTTTTTAAACTTTTTTGCCTTATTTTATACCAAATTTAGCTTCTTTTTTAAATTTTTCTCGTCTATTTACCCATTTTTCCTTCTATTCATTAAATATAATAAGCATATTTAAAGCTTTATTTTTTTAATTTAAAATTCTTTTTCAAGTTTAATTAACGTAAGCATTCATTTTTTAAATTAACATACAGCTAGTATTTAAATATATTTTTATTTTATTCCCTCCTCCGTATTTATTTTTAATTTTACCCATATTTAACACAGAATTCTCACAGGAAATAAATTAATTAAACAAAAATCAGAATTCTTTTAAAACAAACCAGAATTTCTTTTTAAAACAAAATCAGAATTTTTTCGATTTAACCTCCTTTAAAATAAACTTTTTCAGAATTTTATATGAACATTCGGGAAAACAAGATTAAAAATCAGAACTGTTTCTTAAACATTGTTTCCCTAAATGTTCAGATAAAATTCTGAAAAAGTTTATTTTAAGAGAGATTTACTAAAAACATTTCCGGAAAGGAAAAATTCTGATTTATAAAAATTCTGGTTTGTTTTTAAAAAATTCGATTCTTATTAAACCTAATCATGTTTGTTTGTTTATATAAACATTCTTCTTCCTCTATGTTTTTAGGTCATTAAAACATTAATTAATGTTTTGACTTTTATTATTCTTTTACTTTCATCTTTGTTTGCGTCAATGTCTAAATGCTAATGCCACCTTCCATTAGCTTACGCAAGCGCTAAAAATATTTAAAAATAAGAAAAAGGATTAACGAAAAAATTTTTTTTAAATAACTAATTTTTTTAATAATAATCTTATCAAAATACAAATCTTCTTTTATTTTATTATTTCCACAAGAAAATTTTTTTTATTTGTGTTGAAAAGATTAAAAATACAGAAAAAAATTTTTCAGTTCTATTCTGTCTCAGAAGCTTTAAGTTCTGCTTGTTCAAGTGCAGATACACACGAAAGTGGTGCAAGCTTTTTTTCTACTGATACAACAACAAGTAGCAGCAATAAAAGATTTGGTGGACAAACAACAAAAAGTGTTCATCAAGGTAATAAAACTTTGTTTTTATTTTATTCTGGTCAAGTAATTCTGGTTTTTTAAATTTTATTTGTTCTGGGTTAAGTTTGAACTTGTTTTTCAAGTTTTATTACTCTGGTACAATAATTCTGATTTTTTCAAGTTTATTTATCTTCTCTAACTTTTCAAGTTCAAACTTGATTTTTCATGTTCTTTAAGTTTAAGCTTATTTCTTTTCCAAGTTTATTTATTTATGTTCTCTAACTTCCCATGTTCAGACTTGTTTTCTTCAAGTTTAAGTTTAAGCTTATAATTTTTAAGTTCATTTTTTTGTTCTCTAACTTCTCAAGTTCAGACTTGATTTTTCAAGTTTATTTAAGTTTAAGTTTAAGACTTTTCCAAGTTTATTTTATGTTCTCTAACATTTCAAGTTTGAACTTTATTTTTCAAGTTTAAGTTTAAGCTTATAATTTTCAAGTTTATTTACTGTTCTCTAACTGTCTAAGTTCAGACTTGATTTTCCAAGTTTATTTATGCTCTCTAACCTTTCAAGTTTTTTATTTCTCTAATTTTACACTTATTTTTATCAACAACTTTATTGATTTTTTTCAGATTTAATTTCTCTAAACAACAACAACAAAATTAATAATAACAGAAAAATGTTAACATCAACACCTCCAATAATCCAACTTCAAGTAACATCTAATGGGCATGAATGGAAAGAAGAAGAAGAAACTTCAACAACTTTTATGTCTTCCCCCCAAATAAATGGAAACCTTCAACAACAACAGAATGGAGGAGGGAAACATTCATCTTCTTTTTGTCATTCACCTATTTTTGGAATCAGTGTTGGCGCACTTTTTGGTGGACAGATTATGCCTTTTAACAATAATAACAATAATAAAGAAGCTGCTAATATGTTAAACGGAACAGACAAAAGGGTATTTATTTTAATTAAAAATGTTGGAAGAAAACTTTTAAGTAAGGGTAGCAATTTTATTGATAATATTATTTTTTTGTATGTAACTAGGTTACTCTTGAAGGGTTTTTTTTATTTTAAGTATAGGTTAGAGTGTTATTAACCGATGCCGTGGGAGAGGAACAAGGAAATTTTTTGGGGAGGATAGCTTTTTTGGAAAAGATTTAAACATCCCTCCCAATTTTGAGGAGGGATTGGGTTTCAGTTTATATTGAGTTCACCTCCGAGTCTGTGACCTTGTTCACCGTCACAGAGGAAGCTCCGGGGAAGATTTTTCGGGGAAGACAACTTTTCTAAAGATCTTGAACTCCCCCAAAACTTTCTTGGACGGTTCAACTTTAGGAGTAGATCCAAATTAAGGAAACGAACCTTTAAAACTTTTTAGGAGACTCAGAGACATTGAAAAAAATCTTTATTAAAATATTCCTCATTTTTTTTCAGCATATCTTTGCCCGTCAAAAGTCTGAAGAGGCGGACCGCAAGCGTCGTATGACTATGCCTTTAGTTTACAGGTGCGTGTTGGTATATTTTTTTATTTTCTATTTTTTAATGATAACTCGCGTTAAGTGCTCCTCATTAAAAGATTTCCGAAAAATATAAATAAAAGTTTATTTAAAAATAGAATAGACTTGACGTTTTAAAAAATTTTCTCTTATAAATTATATGGTGTAATTAAAACGTATTTAGAAGCTTAAAAAAATTTTTTTTCTAATTCATAGCTTTAAAACTTTAAAAATAAATTATTCCTTATAATTATAGGCCATTAAATATTTTGAAAATTTCGTAAAAAGTTAAAAAAAATTTTTTTTTTAAATTTTAGAATGTACGAAAGTCAACGTGAAGATTTATGTGGTACTATACGTGGACCTGATGATGATGTTGGTATTTTTAAAAAAATTAATTTTAGGGCAATTTAGCTTTGAAAACTCTTCCATTTTTAATTAAAAATTAATTTTTTTCTGATTTAATTTGAATAAAAAATTTATTTTTTTTTCAGTATTTCCACCCAGAAGAAGCATCAAAACAATTAAGGGAAGCATTATCAACAGGAATACGTAAATTAAAAAAATCTAAATTTTTCTTAAGATTTTTTTTGATGTTTAGAGAGCCATGACCAAACAATTATCAATGTCCTTTTAGCCCATAATAATTTTCAAAGACAAAAAATTGCTACAACATATGAAAATATGGTTAATTAAATTTATTTTTAAATTAAAAAAAAATTAAAAAAAATTTCAGTTTTGTCGTAAACTTTGTGATGATATTGACGAGGAAGCCGGCGGTCATTTTGCTGATTCTGTTATTGCATTGTTAACACCAGCACATATTTATTCTACAAAAACATTGTATTATGCTATTTCTGTAAGTTTTATTTTTTTATAAATAAAATTGGTTGTTTTCTTGGAAATGAACATTTTATATGTTTTGTTTTTTTCTGAGATGTTTAGATTAAATTCTGATTTTTTTAAGTTTCTGATTTTCCATAGTGTTTAGATGAAATTCTTATTAAATAAACTTTGTTTCTTTTATTTCTCTGATTGTTCGGATGAAATTCTGGTTGATTCCTTTGTTTATCAAAAGAATTAATTTGAAATAAAATTCTGGTTTTTTCTGAAATGTTTAGAAGAAATTCTGATTTTTGTTTTGTTCAACTAAATTCTGTTTCCTTCGTTTCTGAATTGTTTAAATAAAATTCTGATTTTCTTTAATGTTTAGATAACGTTCTGATTTTATTTTTCTGTAATGTTTTGATGAAATTCTGATTATATTTTTCTTTCCGGAAAGCTAATTAAAATTTGTTTTTCTGTTTCCTTCAGTAAATATTAAATTTAAATTCTGATTTATTTAAATACAATTTTTGCAGGGAAAGAGTTTTAGTCGTTGCGTTGCTGTTGAAATTGGTTTGACTGGGACTACACAAGTAAAATTAAATTAAAAATTATTTTTAAAATTTTTTCTTATATTTTTTAAGCAATTAAAAGTAATTTGCGACACTTATCAAACAGAATTTCGAACATCATTAGAACGCGATTTAACAATGAAAATTGAAGGTCTTTTTGGCAAAATACTCTTACAATTGCTGGTACGGAAGGATGAACCAAACAATAAATCAAGTGATAATGAAGGAGAAGAAGAAGAAGAAATTGCAATACGTGAAGCTGACAAACTTTTTGTGGTTTTTTTTTTATTTTTTAATTTTTGAAGAAAAAAATTTTTTTAAAGGAGGGTGGAATTGAAGAACTTGGACGGTCTTTTGACCTTTTCAATCGAATTTTTGGTCTTCGCTCAGCTTCACAAATCCGAGCATTTGTTCAACATTATGATAGAAGAGCTATAGCTGCAGCAACAACAACCTCGCCAACGACCACAAATATAAGTACAAAGACGAATGATACAATGTTGAGTGGAAGTAGTGGTGGTGGTGGGGGAGGAGGTTTATTTTAATTTAAAAATTATTTTTTAATTTTTTATTTTTATAGAAGGCCCTTTTCATAAAAGTCGTGAACGTAGTCAAGAACGCCGTGGCCGTGATTTTGAGACAAGCATTCGAAAATGTGTAAATATACATTCTGATGTTAAACAAGCAATACTTCTTTATGGTTAATTTTTAAAAAGTTTTTTTAAAGGGAGTAGGGTAACATTTCCTTTTAGATAACCCTGAAACTTATTGTTAGTACCAAAAATTCGTATTTAGCTATTAGGTCTTATAACAGCATGAGTGTTCTTATACAAAGAGACACCTCATTTTTAATTCACAAAATATTCTAATATGTAGAACAGTAATGGGTCGTTTTTTTTGAATAAAGTCGGGGTGGGTTTTTAACATTTTTTAAAATCCGTGTTAGGCTCGAAAGACAGTCCAGTCATGGTTTTGGGTAACCTCCAACTTATCCCTCATCTAATATGGGGTTATTTCCAATTTTTTATAAAATTATTAATCCTTCTATTAAATTTTTTCAATTATTTCAGTGAGAATTGCAAAGAATATGCAACTATACTTTGCAGAACGTTTACACGAAGCTATATCACAAAATAGGCCTGATCATTCATCAATTATACGAATTTTAGTTTCTCGTAGCGAGGTTTCTTTTAGATTTTTTTTTGGGATTTTTAAAAATTTTGTCAATTTTCTAGATTGATTTATACGACATTTGCAACGAATATAAACGTCGTTATGGACATCCTTTAGTCTATGATTTGCAACAAATGTGTAGTGGTGATTTCTTTCGTCTATTAAGTCAATTGGTGAATCCGTCAGAGTTGGCTAGTGGGGATGCTGAGGTTTTTTAAATTTTTTTTGTATAATTTATACAACGATGATGAAAGGAAATACATAAATGTGTGTGTATGTGTTTCGTATATATTTATGTTTTTTTTGGTGTTTTGTTTTTTTTTTGAAAATTTTGGAAAATTTCTGGAAAAAAATTTTCGGAAAAATTTTTTGTATATTTTTTTACAATTGTATTTTCAAATTTTTACACAAATTTTTTAATAATACATATGTATAATAATAAATTTGTATTTTTATTGAAAAAAATTTTAATTTAGAAAAAATAAAAATATTATAAACACATACACACATTTTTTGTAAACTTCCATCTTCGGTTAAAAAAATTTAAAAAATTAAGAGAAAATTTTTTTAATTAAATTGGGTAAAAAAGCTTAACTAGCAATTTCTATTTATTTTACAATCCCAAGTGCCAATTTAATTTTTTGTTATTCTATTTTGTGAGTTAATTAATATATAGAAAATGGGTACTTCTCTCAATAACCCAAAAGAAGGAGATTTTTTTATTGGAGGAGATTTTCATCTCATCTTCATTTATCTTATTCTTATATATTGTATTATAATTAGGGTTGCCAAAATGGACCGACTCTGACCGAAAGATCGAGTTGGGCCTATGATAGTTGGCCTGAAAATTGACCCGAAAAAGACTTGTACGGCCCGGTCCAAAAAAATTTCAAGCCCGAAATAATGTTTATCAACCGTCGGCCCGACACTCGAAAACGGGCAACCATAATTATAATATATTATTAACTTAAAAACCTTTCTTTTTCAATTAATTATTATCTAACTGCTGGCCAAACACTCCTCACACTCTCAATCAAGCTCACCTAAACTAAACTAACCAACAATTTTATCCTCTATTTTAATAACAAAATCTTTCTGACATGTCCCATTAGAAAAACAATTTTTTTTCAAAATAATTATTAGGTAGGTGGTTTATGCCCTCACACAATAAAATAAAAGTAGTTAGTATTTATTTATGGCATTTGCGCGCGGGCATGCTTTTTCTTTCATTTTTTTTCAGTTAAATAATTACCTCTTTAGTTGGCACGCATTTTTGGCTTTTTCTATTATAAAGTGTATTTTTCTCATTTTCTTTTCATTCCGGGGTCTATTATTATTTTTACTATTATTTGCCTTCAATTTTTATGGTCTTGGTGAGGCACGGGGAGGTTGTTGGTTGATGAGGTCGTTTATGGTTTCTATTTTATGTTTTATTGGTTAGTGCTTGCTTATGCTAGTTGTTGCTCTATTTAATCTTCCATATATAGGTTAATAATATAGTTGAAAATTCATTAATTAAATACTCCCTTGAGCTGAAAAATTGTATCAAAAAATTGTAATGATAATTATCTTAAATTTGGCGAGTACTGCTTAGCAGAGGTGAATCGGAGCTAATGAAGGTGCCGGAAATAGGAACTGTCGGGAATTGGAATTCCGATTCACCTCTGCTGCTTATTCACCTCTCATTCACCTTTGCTTCTCCTTAACCATTATGGCCAGTCAAAATTCAAAAAGGAAAAACATAAAGTCGAGGGATATCTAATTTTTTGGGGATATTTTAGATTTAGTAGAAGTTCTCCTATCTGTTTCTATGCCAATTTATTTTTTAATCTCTTAAAAATTTCTCTTATTTAATTTCTACCTATTTTTTCTTTGCATCTTTTCACACTTTTTAAATTTCCTCTTATTTTTTCACGGTCATTTCTTTTTCCGTTTTTTTAAAATTAAATTCACACATTAAAAAAAAATCTTTTTTAACTCATTGATTCCAAAAATGAATTAAAAACGAATTAATTTTAAAAAAACTTTTTATTTTTTCTTTTCGTCTTTTATTCAGCATGTTTTATGCGTTCACTTTCCAACCTTTCTTTTTATATTCTTTAATGATCAATTAATGTTAAAAAGTTTGTAAATTTTTTTTAAACGTTAATTAATCTAAAAAAAGTTTATTCTTCTCAACTTGAATTTGAGTTTGTAATTGCTTCAAGTTTCTTTTCTGAATTAATTTCCGCCTGCTTCAAGCTCACGTTCTTTAAATGTTTACAGTTGCTTCAAGTTTTAATTTGTTCAATTAATGTTTTTTTCTTATTTAAAAAAGAGAGAAATTTAAACAAACAAAACATGTTCAGAATATAATAAATATGAAACAGAATTTCTTTATTTAAATCAGAATTTTTAATAAACATTGCAGAAATGTTTCTCCTAAACATTTCTGAAAATCAGAAATTAAAACAAACATATTTCAAACAAAACATTTTCAACAAATATATTTCAGAAATTCAAACAAACATAGTAAAAACCAGAATTATTATTATTATTTTTCTGATTTTATTTCCGCCTGCTTCAAGTTTTTGTTTTTATTATTGTTCTTGTTTTTAGATTTTTGCTTCATCATTTTATTTTATCCCGTTGATTTTTGTTCTTTTTTTAAAAAGCTTTTAAAATCCACCTAAAATTTTTGCAGCATTATTTTTTGCTATATATTATTAGCAAAATAATTTTATTTTTTTATTTGTCCACTTTTTCAAAAATCATTTTTTTCATATCTAAGCTTGTCATCTTTTCTCTCTAATCATTCCATCAACAACTTCGTCATCATTGTAAAATTTCACCTTTTCTCCTCTCATTTCATAAAAGCTGCATTTTTTTCTTCGCTTCCGTTCAGTTTAATAATAACAAACATATAAAAATAAAAATCAGCCTACAAAGTCAGCTGTTTTATTTTTTTAATTTTTTTTAAATTTTATTTTGAACGCGCGCATAAAAACAAGCAAGAAACAAAAATTAAAAACCTCTTTAAACCTCTTCTAAAAATAAATTTTTTTATTTTTGAGAGGGTTTAAAACAAACAGAGACATTCACTCAAATAATCATTATTTTTTAATCTTTTTTTAAGTCAAAGAATATTTTCTAAAATATTTTTTTAAATTCATTTAATTGTCAGAAAATATAGGGGGAAAACTCCTGGAAACTTTTTTTAAAAATAAACAAAAAAATATTCTCTTTTCCAACTTTTGTAATTAATCGCTTATAAATTTTCTCATTGTTGCTGATTCATTTTATTGTTTAATTTATTATTCATAATGTTGGGAACGGATACTATTTAAGTTTGTTTAAAAAGCAATTATAAACACAATAGAAATGTTTCTTTTATTTAATTCTGAAAATCAGAAATTCAAACAAACATTCTTTTCTGATTTAAAAACATTCAAACAAACAAAACAAGTTTAGAAAATAATAAATAGAAATCAGAATTTAATTTTATAAATATTAAATCAGAATTTCTATTGAATCAGAATTTTTAAATAAATAATCAGAATTTCTCTATTTTTTCAGAATTTTTATTTAAATCAGAATTTCCAGTTAATTATCAGAATTTTTATTTTAATTAAAAAATCAGAATTTTTAATTAATTATCGGTAAATCAGAAAAACATGTTCGTTTGAATTTCTGATTTTCATCAGAATTAATTTAAAACATTAAAAAAATCAGAATTTTTAATAAACAATTGGTAAACCAGAAAAAATGTTTGGTTGAATTTCTGATTTTTATCAGAATTAATTTAAAAAACATTACTGTTTGTGTTTATTATCCCTTTATACAATTCTGATTTTAAAAACTTGGAATTCTGATAGTATACATACTTATATTTAACAAATTTCAGAAATTATAATGTAATTCCTCTCCTAGTGAAAGAATAAAGAGTGATTTTATCTCTTTATTCCCCAACACCAACAACTATACTTTTCACTTCCTTCCGGTTCACTTGACATTTTTTTCTTCTTTCCATTTTTTTTTCTGGCCCAAAAATCTTTTGTTTCATCATTAATTATTTTTGCAAAATATCTGACCAATAGGTTTTAGACGAAAAAAATTTTTTTTCAAAATCTATTTTAATATTTTATATGTCCTTTTAAAATCTCTCAAACATATATTACTCATTGTCCACCACCACTTCATTCCAAACATTCCAATCCACCTTTTATATTCTTCCACCTTTATTATTAAGAGAGCAACTTGAGTGAAAAGAAGAATTGTTTTAGTGTATTATATTTTTAGTAAGTGGCAAGAAGAAGCTTCTTCTCATTTATTTGATGACGGAATTCCTCTTACCCCACTAAACCCCTTCCTCTTCCTCCCCCATACTTCCTTCCCTTTATTTTTCCTCTTCATAAAATATTTATAACAAAAGGTATTTAAAAATAAATCTGAGAGATCCTCTTTTATTTATTATCTATTTCCCTTTATTTTTGTATAAAAATGACTGGCAAAAGATCATTTTATTATATGGATTATATTATTGCTTCATTATTTTTTAGCTTCAACTTTTATTGCTTCACCCTTCTTGCTTCATTATTTTTTATCTTCACCTTTTATTGCTTCACCTTTCTTTCTTGCTTCAACTTTTATTGCTTTACCTCTTGCTTCAAGTTTTTTTGCTTCACCTTTTTTGCTTCATTTTTTTGTTTCACCTTCTTGCTTCAAGTCTTGCTTCGCCTTTCTTGCTTCAAGTTTCTGCTTCACCTTCTTGCTTCAATTTTCTTTTGCTTTGCCTTTCTTGCTTCAAGTTTTTTGCTTCATCTTTCTTGCTTCAAGTTTTTCTTGCTTCACCTTTGCTTCATCTTTTCTGGTTTAATTTTTTGTTGCTTCATCTTTCACGGATAAATATTTACTCTTACATAAAACAATAAGTTAAATATGTACCTAAAATTGCTTACGTTTGTTTTTACATTTTGTTTGTTTTACATAAATATTCTATTTTACTAAATTCTTCCAAACACACACAAAAAGTGTAGCAGTATCATCATCATCCTTTGTTTATTTTGCAAAGAATATCTCTCTTTTCCGTTTCCAAACATTCTTTTGCCATTTTTCTTTTTTTTTCTATTTTTTAAAAATAAAAATCTTCTCACGTCTCTAATTTTTGCAATAAAATTTACATTTTTAATTTAAAAAAAAAATTAAATTTTTGCAAAATTAACAACAAAATATTTTTTTTTATTTTTAGAAAATCGTTAAAAAATAAGAGAAGATCGAAACAAAATTTTAAAGAAATATTTTTTTGAATGGCATCAACTACCTGCCTTTATCATTTTCAAAATTGTTTGCTACATATCTACTGTTAAAAAATTTAATTAATTTATTTATTAAAAAATGTTTCTGGTATTCTTTTTGATATTAATATTATTTGCAAAACAAGAAGCAACAAAACTTGATAATAATACAGAAACAACAAGAGAAGAAGGAGGAAGAGGAGGAGAAAAAGAAGAAGCAACAGAAACAACAATAACAATGAAAAATGAAGAAGCAACAAAAGCTGAAGCAAATAGAATAACTGAAGCAAATAGAAATAAAAATGAAACAAGAAAGGAAAATGAAACAAAAGAAGAAATTAAAGCAAGTAATAAAACTGAAGCAAAAAATAAAACAAAAGATGAAGCAGAAGCAAAAGTTATAAAATCTGCTAGACAAGAAGAATCAACAACAACGTTGGATGATTTAAATGAAGAAGAATATATTTCTGCTTCAACAATAACAACATCTAGTAGTAGCAATACTTCAACAGATCGTTGTTTACATGTTGATTGCCCTATTGTATTTCCTGATTGTCCTAGTGATTCAGTTGTAAGTTTGTTTTTTTTAAAGTTTTCTACTAGAGAATAAATAAAACTTAAGAGAGAACTTAAGAGAAATAAAACTTAAGCTTGAACTTGAAATTGTAAAACTTAACTTGAAAATAAAACGAAATTTTAACGCTTGAATCTAAGTTTAAACTTGAAATTGTAAAACTTATTTATATTAAGTTTAAACTTGAAATTGTAAAACTTGAATTTAAGCTTAAACTTTAATTTTTTGTTAAACAAACAATACTTGAAAGCTCAAGTTTGTTTAATTTTTTTAAGTTTACAAACTTCATTTTTATTATTTTTAAGTTTAAACTCAAGTTTCTAATAATTATATTTTTCAAGTAGGCAATTTTCTTCAAATTATAAAATTCCTCTACCATTTGAATTATTTTTCCCTAATTTTTTAGCCTATCCTTAGCTTCACTCCAACAACTGATAATTCTTCATTAGCAGAAGATAATTGTTGTTCCCTAACTAGAGTAGAATGTAAATGCGATTCCCAAAAGTGTTTGGTCCCAATATGCCCTGAAGGAACAGAATTAACATTTACACACAATGGGAGTGATAAGCCCGGACATTGTTGTGATCAATTTGAATGTAGACTAAATGGTTTTTAAAATAAAATATTTTTAATCAAAATTTATTTAAAGAACCAAATTGTCAAAATGTTCATTGTCCTGACACTTCTTCAATAATTTTGGATCCTTATTCACCCGATGGACATACTTGCCCAGATGATAGGTAATCTAACTGAATTATGTATAGAAAATTTTCAAAATATTTTTCTAGTTACCGGCCTAAACCTTACATTCCAACTGGCGGTTGTTGTCCAATCATATCGCAATGTCAATGCAAACTGAGCATTTGTGAACCGGTAATACTTATTTTTTATAATAGAAAAGTTGTATATTTAATTTTCAAGCTTAAACTTAAAAGTTTAATTTTCACTTGAAGCTCAAACTTGAAAAAGATTAAACTTAAAACTTGTTTACAATTATAAATTTACAAATTGTAAAATGACATACAGAATATTAATTAAACTTGAAAACATTTTTTACAATTACAAATTATGTAGTTGTAAAGTTTAAATAAACTTGAAGAGACTTTAAGTTTAAACTTGAAAAACTTTGAGTAACTCCAAGTTTATTTAAATTTTACAAGTTGTAATTCAGAATTGTAGAAAGAAAGTTTTCAAGTTTAATTATTAAAGTTTAATTTTCTATTCTCTTTGTTATTTTACAATTTGTAATTCTGAATTGTAAAACTTGCTTTTTCAAGTTTAAACTTTATTTCTTCTATTTTTAAGGCTCTATGCTTACCAGAACAGCAATTGCTAATATTAGAACGAGGTCGAGGCGAGCCTGGTCAATGTTGTGATAAATTTAAATGTGTAAATGAAGGAGATGAAATTGAAGGATTATTTTTAGAATCTAGTAGTAATAGTGGTTGCCGTTATGGAGGTATTTTTTAATTTTTAAAATTATTTAAAAAATATTTTTTAAAGGTCATATTTATGCTAAAGGTGAACATTGGCATGCAGCACCATGTCAAGAATGTGAAGTAAATATTTTTTAGTTTTTGATTAATTTGGGCAGTGATGTACAAGAGACTCTCTTGGTCTTAAATTTTGAAATCATACCTTTTTGGGAATTTTTTTTGCCTTAAGTCTTAGAAATTTTTTCAGTCTTTCTTGAACATCACTTAAGGAAAATGAGGAAGATACTGGGACACTGGGATTTTTTTGCCTTATATTGTAAGGAAATGAGGTAGATCCAATGGGTAGCATTTAAAAAATACTAGGCGGGAGTTTAGGACCATCTACTTATTAAAGATGAAGGTGAGAAAGTCACCTACCTCTCTGGAGCTCACATCAGAGTATCAATGCCTGCTCGAGGCTATATTTTACCTCTCTCTTTTCCCATATTTTCTATTTTTTTTTAAATTTTAGTGTAGCTCTGCTGGTGTTGCATTATGCAAAAGAATGGAATGCCCAGCCTTATCACGTAGCTTTCTTTGTTTAAAAAATTTTTTTAAAAGAATTTTTAAAAATTAAGCTGATTGTCAATGGGTTGGTCTTTCACAAGGAGAATGTTGCCCAGTCTGTTTAGGATGTACTGATGATAATGGTAAAAATTATTTGCCTGGATCAAATTGGGAACGTGATGGGTGTACAAATTGTACTTGTGGAGGAAGCGAAGAAAATTTTGATGATGATGATTTTCATTGGCAATGTCAAAAATATATTTGTCAAACAGATTGTGAAGAGCCTAAACCTGCTGGAAGTAATGAATGTTGTCCTATTTGCGAGGGTAAATTAAAAAATAAATTTTTTTTAAAATTTTTCTGAAAATTTTTTTGAAAATTTTTTTTGCAAAAATTTTTTAGAAAAAATTTTTGAAATTTTTTTCCTGAAAATTTTTCAGAAAATTTTCTGAAATTTTTTGAATTTTTTTTTCTAAAATTTTTTCTGAAATTTTTTTTGAAATATTTTTCTGTGATTTTTTTTTAATTTTTTTCAAAAAAATTATTTTTTTAGATGGCCCAACAATAGCTTTTGAATCTTCATTTTCCTCTTCATCTTCCTGTCCGTCCCTTTCAAATTGTGAATTACTTTGTCAATATGGATTGAATCAAAACAATTTTACTGGATGTTTTGAATGTAAATGTGCTGGAGATGGAGAAAATAATAATGTTGAAATTGAGGAAGAAAATAAGCAACAACAGCAACAATACGATTCTATTAATATTACAACAAGTTGTGAACCAGTAACAAAAGAAAATTGTTTGTATAATGATCATGCTTATAGTGTTGGGGAGAATTTTCAGGTTGTGTTTAAAATGTATTTTTTATTTTGTATTTATTTTGTTTTTGTATTTTTTTGTGTTTTTGTATTTTTTGTGTTTTCTTTAATATAGGTTTATTTATTGTGTTTCTGGTTGTGTTTTTTGTTTTTATTTTTATTGTGTTTTCTTGTTTCAAGTTTGTTTATTTTGTGTTTTTCTTTTTTTTAATTCAAGTTTATTTGTTTTGTGTTTTTTTATGTTTTAATTCAAGTTTGTTTATTTTGCGTTTTTCCATGTTTTATTTGTTTTGTGTTTTTCTTTGTTTCATGTGTTTTAATCGAATTTTATTTTTGTGTTTTTTTGTTTTAATTCAAGTTTATTTTTATATCACAACATTAATAATATTTTTGTATTTTCAGGATGGTCCTTTCCGTAACTGCAGTTGTCTTTTAGGCGGTATGCTTAAATGTGTAGAAATTCACTGTCCACCTTGTTCCTCCTTATCTCTACCAATCATTTCAACAACAGATAAAATTCAAAATAATCAACAAATAGAAACAACAGGAATGAATTGGTGTTTACAATTATGTTTACAACAACAAAAACTAACTGAGAATAATAAAGAACAACAACAGCAACAACAACTTGTTGCCTTTGAGAGAGGAAATGAACAAACACTACTTTTTGAAAATTTACAACAACAGAATGATTCAACAACAACAACTAAAGGTTTGAAAAGATTTTTTATTTTTTTAAGTTTATGTATTTTTTGCGTGTCCGGAAATTTGGGGAGTGGACACTTGGGGAGTGGGCATTTGGGGAGTGGATAAATGGGGAGTGAGCGGACAATTGGGGAGTGGACATTTGGGGAGTAGCCTAACGATAAAAATACAACAGAATATTAAATAGTTTCTTTTGTATTTAAAAAAATAAATTAGGAATCTCTCGAATGGCTATTATGTTTTTTCGAATTTTTGACTCTAAAATCCCACCATTGATATTTGACCATTTCGAGCCCTATATCTCGACTCAAACTTGTTTAACAAGCTAATTTTAGTATCATTCGACTCAGATCGAAAGCTCTTTCGAATGGGCTATTACTTGCATATTCGAATTTTTACCTCAAAATCGAGCTTACCCCCTCCCCCCAATGTTTTTTCAATTTTTCAACCTATAACTCGGTTCAGAATATTTCCTGAAATAGGTAATTGGATTTGTTCCGAAATTGGAGTTGACGTTTTTTTCGAAAATTGGAGTTTGACTCAACTCGCCGAGACGAATCGAGTGACATATTCCACGTCCCAAACTTTTATCTCCTGTGAACTTATACATAACCGTTTTTTAAATAAAAAGCAAGAAAAATATTCAATATTCATTTATTTTTATCGTTAGGCTACTCCCCAAATGTCCACTCCCCAATTGTCCGCTCACTCCCCATTTATCTACTCCCCTAATGTCCACTCCCCAAGTGTCCACTCCCCAAATTTCCGGGAGCCATTTTTTGTATTTTGTATTTTTGTGAGCAAAACAAGTTTATTTTTAGTGTTTTTCATTTTTGTATTTTTGTTTTTAGTTAAACAAAACAAGTTTTAATTTATTAAGTTTTAAGCGTGTTTAGGTTTCTAAGTTTATTTTATTTTGTATTTTATTTTTTGTATTTTTTTGTGTTTTATATGTTTAAAAACAAGTTTTAATTCAATAGGTTTTAAGTTTTTAGGTTTCCAAGTTTTGTGTTTTTGTATTTTTAATTCAAGTTTGTTTATTTTTGTATTTTTTTGTGTTTTATATGTTTAAAAACAAGTTTTAATTCAATAGGTTTTAAGTTTTTAGGTTTCCAAGTTTTGTGTTTTTGTATTTTTAATTCAAGTTTGTTTATTTTTGTATTTTTTTTGTGTTTCATATTTTTAGTAACAAGTTTTTATAGGTTTTAATTTTTTAGGTTTCCAAGTTTTATGTTTTTGTGTTTTTAATTTTTTGTATATTTTTGTATTTTTTTAAAACAAAACAAGTTTAATTATAAATATAGAATAAGTATTTTTAATTAATTAAGGTATCAATAATAACAACAACAAACATCTACCCCACCACCAACAACAACAAACTTGGCCTCAACCTCATTGGTTATTTATTGTTGCTGCTTTAATTGTGGGTATACCCGCGTTTGCTCTACTTTTACTTTTTGCAATTTATTTATTATTGGCTGTATTGTTTAATTCAAAATATAGGAAATGTGGAAAAGTAAGGAAGGAAACTTTGATTTATTAAAAAAAATTTTTTTGTAATTTTTTAGCAAAGAAATATTGAACAATCTATGCTTCCAATCACTAATGATAATAATCAAAATAATAATAATAATAAATGGCATATTTTTCAATTGATACCTAAACATTTTACCAAAGAAAAACAACAACAAAAACAAAATAAAAATATTTCCAAAAATGTTTCTAGTTCAAATAATACAAATAATAATGATGCTTTAGTAGTTAAAGTATCACTCTTGGGTATTAATAAAAATAAAGAGGAGGAAAAAAATGAAGAAGAAAAATAAAAAATTATTGAAACCTTGTATTTTTTTTAAATCTTGTATTTTCTCAAGTCACACAAAAATTATTCTCAAGTCAAGCACAAACAAACAAACACTCAAATAAATCTCTCTCAAAACTTTAAAAATTGTTTATATGTATATATTATTTTTTCATAATTTTATGTATTTTACAATTAATGTATTTTACCATGTATTTTTGTTTTTGTATTTTTTTTTCAATTTTGTGTTTTTGTTTTAAATACAAACAAAGAAATAAAAATTATATTTTGTATTTTTGTATTTTTAAATGTTTTATTTAAAACATTTTGTATTTTTTGTCTTCTAAACATGTGTTTTCAAAACATGTGTTTTTAAAACATGTGTTTTTCAAAACATGTGTTTTATTTTTAATAATGCTTTTCTAGATATAATTAAATGAACAAACAAACAAGAATCTGAACAACAATGTTTTATTTAATGTTTGTATTTTCTCAAAACATGTGTTTTTAATTTAATAATGTTTTTCAACAAACAAACAAACTTAAAATCAGAATACGTTTGTGTTTTACAAACATTTTATGTGTTTTGTTTGTATTTTTTCAAAACACGTTTGTATTTTCCTCAAACATTTTTCAAAACATTCAAAAATACAAAAACATTTGTTTTTGTATTTTTTCAAAACAGGCGCGTGTTTTTATTACAATAGTGTTTGTAAAACTTGTTCTGATTTTTTAATTGTTCTTTTAATTGTATCGAGAAGAATAGTAATTGTAAAACTTTAAAACTAGTAGTTAACCCAACGCCCCCGTCGTCAGGGGCAGAGGGGTCCGTGTAATTACTTGTTAATTAATTCCATGTAATTAACATGCTAATTAGAACCATCCTAAAGGTTTAGGGACATCCGGTACCACCCCAAGGGCTTATCAATGATTACTGATATAAGAAAGGGGGTTCCGTGTAATTTATTCCCTTAATTTTTCTTTTACCCTTATTTACATGTAATTAGTAATTAATTAAATCAATAGGGTTAGGGACATCCGGTGCCAATCCTGAGACCCGTCAACCAAAAGCTTTAGGATGTTTTTCCCCGAAAATTTTTTAAATTTATTTTTCCCTTTCCTTTTCCCCAAACTTTTAAAAAATATTTTTTTCCTCTCCTTTCTTTTAATTTTTCGTGCAGCGTGCGAACATTTTTTATTCAATTTTCTTTTGAAATTTTTAGGTCAAACTAGAAAACTTTTACTTTTTTCTTTTGTATTTTTTTGAAATTCTTTTGAATTTTTTTAGGTCATCTCTGACCTAGAAAATCCTTTTTCGTTTTTTAAAAAAGATTCCCTTTTGTTAAGAAATTTCAACTTTTTCTTTTCAATTAGGTCAACCTGACCTAAATATTTCTTTTGTGAATAAAAAACAAAAATTTTATTAAAAATTTTTGAATGGAAAAGGAAAAAAGGATTAAATAGTGAAACTAAAAAATTGAATAGAAATAAAACTAAAAAACTTTTGAATGGAAAAATAAAAGAAAAAATTTAAAAATAAATAAAGAACTGGAAATAAAATAAATTTAAGTAAAAAATTGTAATAAATAGAGATTAAAATAGGGGGTAATATTAAAATATTGTGCAGATTTCCTTCTCTGCTCCAACCAAACCATCTTCGACTACATTGTTCTTATCTATTGCTTGTCAACCCGTTACTACAATACCCCTCTTAAATAAATATTATAAAATTTTCAAAAATTAGGTCAATTTTTCAAGGTTATTATTAAAAATTTTAACCTAGTTAATAAATTTCTTTAAAAATCCAGCTGTGATTTATTTTGAAAATAACCTAAAATAGGTGGAGCCTCTGTAGGTATAAAAACCGATTGATTTTGACTTGAAATATCATTCTGCTGTTCAACACATCTTCGAAACAAAACAAACTTTCGTCTTTTTCAATTTTTTTTTGTTTTTAAATGGCTCCTCCACCTCCCAAAAAATTTAAGAATTTTACCATTTCCAATATTCTAGGTTCTCAAACTAATAATCCCTTTGTGAAAAAGCTTGGTCATGATACCAAGTTTAACCAGAAATTTAACTCGTCCAAAGTCTCTACTAGGTTCCTAATTTCTGACCTCCCCAATGACCCTGAATCCCTTCTAGCTGGGATTTTCCAAAATACAATTGACGAAGCTCTTGAAGAGAGTCGTCAATGGGGGGTTGAACCAGAACAACTAGGTTGTATTATTTCGAGTCAGAACCTCGATTCTGACGTTTGGATTCCGGTTCGGGAGATCACCTCCAATACTATTGATTCAATCCTGAATCAATTCCTAAAGGTCGCCCAGAGTAAGAAACAGGATAATGGTATGTTATGGGGGGCACCTTTTCAGGTCTCGGTTTCCACCATCCAAAGAACTAACACCCCCCGTCGAGTACATGGTCGTGGAAGAAATTCATCATCAAAACAACTTAAAATTAATGACAACGCTCTAATTAAAATTCGCAACAACGACAACTATTGTTTGTTCTACTCTTTGGTTGCAACATTTATTTATGCAACATGTCTATGGCCAAGATGGAAATTCTATGACTACATGCGTAGCCGAAGAGGGATGGCTAATCAATTCAAAAAAGACTCGATGGACCTGATGGAAAGTATTGGTGCACCTTTAAATCTGGACAGTTATGATGCAGAAGAATGGATCCCAATTGTGGTTGAGTATTGGAATTTACTGAATAAAGGATGGTTTAAAGTTTTTATATTTGGAGATTTAGGGGAAAAACCTATTTATAAATATGGCCCAGATAATTTTGATACCCCTATAATTTTGTATTATAATAAGGAACATTTTGACGGTGTTCGTAGGGCTTGTGACCTTTTTGGCCAACCTTATTGTTTATCCTGTGAAAGCGTCTATAATAGGAAATCAAACCATGCAATCTCGTGTAAATCAAGATGTCCTAACTGTTCTAGGGTTGGCCCAGGGTTTCCTTGTAAAAATTTAAATGATTTCTTTAAACATTGTAATGGGTGTGGGAAAGAGTTTAAGAATGAGAATTGTCACACCCACCATATCACCTCGAATTTTTGTAGTTCCTCCAAAAAATGTGAAAAATGTGGAGTTATCTGGGATGTTAAGGATAATAATAGGAATGGAAGGGAGGGTCATATTTGTTCCGAACGCTATTGCACAACGTGCGGTAGCTACCACGATCCCAAACGCGGGTGTTATATTAAGCCCCTTGTCATTAAACCCCCAAAGGCGTACCGAATTATCGCCTTTGATTTTGAAACCATGCAATACCGGGAAGGGGAAAAAGGTAAAATGCACGATGTTAACTTTATAGGGGTAAAGGTAAATTGTCCAGATTGTATCACTACTGGACATAACACTGATTGCAGTGTTTGTGGGGAAGATAGAACGATAACTTTTTCTACGAGACCTTTCCAAAACACACCCGTTGACATTCAAAATGTCACAGAGAATCCCTTAGAAGAGTTTGTGTCATGGATTATCGATTCTTCCGTGACAGACACGGTTGCCTTCTCACACTTTGGGGGTAGATTTGATATGGTATTAGTTTTTAAGGAATTGTTTCTTAGAGGTTTGACCCCAGACATGATTAAAAAAGGTAATAAGCTATATGAAATGAAGGTAAAAGTTGGTAAAAAGAATTGGGTTATTTTTAGGGACACCTTTAATTTAATGCCCATGTCCCTTGCTTCCTTGGTCCCTGCCTTTGCACTAAGTGTAGAGGACAAACCATTCTTCCCACACATGGTAAATAGGCCGGAAAATTATGGTAAGGAAATTTTCCCGGTCAAGGAGGATTATTTGGCTGATGGGATGATGCCTGAGAAGAGAGCACAATTTGATAAATGGTATGAACAACACAAGGAGGAACCCTTCAATTTGGATGAGGCCTTGGCATCATATTGTACCAACGATGTGGAAATTCTAATGGCTGCACTGGTTGCTTTTCGACGAGAATTCTTGGAGGTTTCAAATGGATTGGATGTTCTGAGGGAAGCAATGACAATCGCCAGCGCGTGCATGAAACACTTTAGAACAAATCATCTTCAATCTCAACACCTTGGAATTGTTCCAGAGAAGGGCTACGACAACGCAGACAACCAGAGTTTGCTTGCTCTTCGATTCCTCGCCTGGTACGCTGAAGAACACAATGTAAACATACGTAATGCTTATTCTAAAGAAGGGGAAAAGAGGTTTGGGAATTATAGAGTAGATGGGTGGGTAGAAGAAAGGAAATTGGTTATTGAGATCAATGGTTGCTGTTGGCATGGGTGTAAAAAATGCTTTCCTGATGATGAAATAAGGCTTCCCAATGGGGTTACTGCGGGGATTCAAAGGGAGAGGGATGAAAAACGTTTGGAATTTATTGAGAGTTTTGGAGTAGAAGTGGAAGTCTATTGGGAGTGTGAAATAAGGGGGATGCTCTCAAGAGATAGAGTTATGAGGTTAAAGTTTAAGAATTATTTGGACAATGGACCGATCGATATTCGATCGGCCTTCTTTGGGGGGAGAACGGGACCACTCAAACTATTCCATAAAACGGGGGAGGGGCAAAAAATTTCCTACTATGATGTGACCTCCTTGTACCCGTTCATCAATATGACAACACGCTACCCAACTGGTCACCCTGTCGTCCATATTTTAAACACTGACGTCAAATGGACCCGGCCCTCCGACAACATTTATGAATTGGCTCTTCTAAAAATTTTTGTGATACCTCCACGCAGCATCGACATACCAGTGCTACCTATGAAAATTGGAGACGACGATGAAAGACTTCTGTTTCCTCTTTGCTCAACTTGTGCGAAGGAACACCCAAATGGAGATGTGAATGAAAACTACAGCTGCAAACACACAGACCAACAACGTGGATGGGTATCTACTTGTACATCAATTGAGTTGAACGAAGCATTGAAGGAAGGTTACGTGGTCACAAAAGTCTTCAGAGTCTTGGAATATAAAAATTATGACGACAACCTATTTCGTCCTTACATTCGTGAATTTATGGCACAAAAAATTCACGCAAGTGGCTTTGACAACGATATTAAAGGAGACAGACAGAAGGAAGAGAACTTCATCGAGGAGTGCAAAGAAAAGT